ACACACACACACAAAGACAACTAGAAGACAGTAAGAATTGCAGTGTTGCACTCAGTGTTTCTGCAAACTCTTCCTTGGCCTTCAAACATAGCAGCAGTAGGAAACAGTTCAACACTTCAAGGAGTTTGGGGCAGACACACTTTGTTAAGCATGTCATTTTGATTTCTCATTTTGGTCTATGAGGCCACTGAGGCAGCTGGAACACATATCTTCTGTTGAACCTCTACATTCTCTCCAGCCCCTCTCCTCCAGAAGGCAGTGAGGTTTGACTCCTGCAACTGCTTGTTCAGAGGTGTCAGTATGTGTAACCTGCTGCTCCTGGGCTTCCCAGCTGGACTGACAGGATCTGGCTATGATCCAAGCAGGGTGATGTCTCCAGACCCTTTCTGTCTCCAACACAGGAGCAGTGATTTTTGTTCCAGTTTTTCCTGGCCTTCTCCCAAACAGAGTCAGAAGTTTTGAATTGAACAAATCTTTTTGAATTGTTTGCAGTTGAGGAAATGCATTTGAAAATAAGGTTATAACCAATGGTATTCTAAAATATAATGGCATTAGATATGAAAAATGCAGTTTCTTGCTGTTAAGCCTGTGAAAAGAACCCTTTTGTCTTTTCCAAGTGTAACATTTGTTCAACAAGCTTGAATTTATCCATTGTGGCCAAAGCTGAATGTATACTTTGACAATTATGTCTTATGACTAATCTTTAATGGACTTGCTCTTTCTGATGCTAATAGTGAATCTGTAGTTTCATCCGCAATTTGGAAACACAGAGTTATGTGGACCAGGGTGGATGGGATACATTATCCAGGATGGGATGGTCCATGAACTTTTGTGAAAAGTGCCTTAACGTCTGTTTGTCACTGCCCTGAGGCAAAGCACAAAGCTTAATATCCATCTTCCCTGGTGAGCCAGTAAGAGAGAGAAAATCTGCAGCTTAGAAACTCCTGGTACAAGTTAGATAGTTGATTTAGACATCTGATTTAGACAGCTGATTAACCGGTTAAGTAATTGACTAGATCTGACTAATTAGTGGTTAATGGTAAGGTTCTGTCAGATTAAATTGATCTCTAGTAAACCAAAGGACAATTATGAGCTTGCAATCACTCTGATTATTTTCCCCCTGCATTGTTACAAGAACCCCAGTTAGAGGTAATGCGATAATTTAGGACTGTTATGTAAGGCTGTCTCCTTGCCACAGGACAGTGCTTCAAGCGCTGCTATAAATTGGGGCAATGCAATTCCTAATGTCTGGTGAGATATGTGATTAAGTAATAATTGATTTTTTTGGGGAAACTTCTGTAATGCTGTCATTAGTTTCATATTGCCTGTCAATTCATTGCCCATTGAAGTGCAGATTGTTGCAGGCAGCCAAATAAACAGAAAAGCATAGAGGTTAAAGCTGGTGACCAGTGTGAGAAATGTAAACAGAAGGTTTAAAGCTCTTTTTCCAGGTTATCTACAGCCCTGGCTTGGTGCTTGGTAAAGCAGAAATTTTCTTTTTGAGTAGTCTATGTCAATGCCATCAGAATAGGAGCTTAGCTACACACAATTAAGGTGCTTCAGCAACACAAATAGTTTGAGTCAGGTTGCGTGTCTCAAATATTTTGATCAGAAACACGAAGGTGTATGTCCACTCTGGATGTCATCTGTTGGATGCCTGGAAGGCATGTCTGGCAGGCTTATACCACTATCATTGCATATTGATGTACTCGCTGTAGCTTGTAATTAGTAAGAGACAGCATCAGGCCTTGTGGATTTTGACTTCCCCAAGAGGAATATTACTAATGAAGTAAGATAGATTTTTGCAACTAGAATCATTGGAACCTCGCTGTTTTCTTTTTTTATCTCTTTCCTTTTTTCCACCCTTTCAAATTACCTTTGATCTTTACAGAGATATTTCTATATATTTCCGAAGAGATGATGAAGTCAATTTGACTATCTATGATTGCAAGATATTTCTGGTAAGACACTTGCTGTGTTTCCACATTTGTTGCGTCAGCCATTACTCACGTACCTACTTGTTTACTACTCTTCTTGGAAGAGCAGGAGAGAAGTGAGACTAATAAAGCTATGCACAGTGATAATTTATTCAGTTGTTAAATCAAAACAAAAAAGCACTCAAAAACTTGATTTAGAAATCTTTTAGCTGAAACCACATTTGACATAATGTATTCAATTTAGATGGGAATTAAATGAGTTATATTGGGCACCTGTAAGAAAAGCCAAAGGAATGTAGGTATGGTTTACAAGCTGATAATGTAAATCCATCCCCTTTGCTTTTATCCAGTACATCCATTGTGTTTTGTCTTCCAGAAAGCGAGAAATTCAAGTCTGGTTTATTGTTTATGAAGTCCTTTGAAGTGGGAGAGGTTTTACTGTGCCTTGTTTTATTTTCTCTCTTTGGTTTGTTCCACTTCTCAGTTTTAGCAAATTGAACATTCATTACAGCAGACTGCAATCCTGTTGCATGTTTTCCGTGTGGGTACCTTAATCTATAGGCTGGAGGGTTTTCCTTTCCTTCTGTTCCTAGAATTTATCTTGTTGCATATGAAGGGGTTTAGAAGACAGCTAGAATCTCATACTCACCTCTGGGGGTAATACCCCACTTCAATTTCAGTGTCCACCTGAGTCAAGACAAGGATACACACGTGTGTCTCTAGTCTGTAATACAGCACTATGAGTTCTGTGAAATGTGGTAATCTGGCCCAAGTTTTTTCCTGCTGCAGCTACTCCAGTTAGGACACCCTCCTGATGGTATGAACTCAAGTGTTGTCGCTTACCAACCTCTCACTGGCTTGCAAAGGTCTTGAGCTCAGGCGTAGCTTTTGTGGGGTGGGAAACCTTTCTGTTGGCAAAGCTGCCAACCCTGAGCATGCTTCTGGGCTGACACAATGTGACCACCTACTGCTGCACAGAGGGAAAGTGAGATGCACTGCTCATCAGGGGATACCAGCTGCAGCCTGTGTGAGGAGATTACTGGGGGTGGGGGATTATGGTTCATAGAGACAGCCCCTACAGTTTCATGATGGACCATCCAGTAAGGCAGGTATCAACTAGCTCTATTTGAGTGGCCACATTTATCCAGCTCCTTCTCCTAATTTACCCGACTGTTTAGAAAGGATATATAGTTTTTCCACTGTGCACCTGCATAAAATTGAAAGGGATGACTTGTTTTAATGTAGTGTGGAGATAAACAGGTTATGCCCTTCTGAAATGTTAGTTTTGCAACAGTTGAGTATAGTTGAGTGAATATAAAAATCCTAAGGCCATTACACAGTGTAACTGGTCTCACTCGGGTTTATTTAGGAGAAATAAATTCAGATTAAATGTTTGAGAGTTATTTCTGTAGTGAACATGTAATTTTTAAAATATCTTTCATTATACAGGGAATAATAAATTATACTCCACTATAGTGAGACAGAAGTCAGTGCTTCCTTTGAAAACTGGATTCTGGCTGAAAGACTGCTTGTCCAGTTTCTGGAAACTAAACAAAAGTTTGAGTTAAAGTCACTGAGAAGAGATTGCTGAAATCCATTTCAGGTCCTCTGGCACAAAGCACGCAGGCGGAAATGTTTCCTTGCCAGTTAACTAGCGCTTCTCCTCTTGCTCCTGGTACTGTGTCTGATTCAAAGCTGTGCAATTCCTCCCCAAACCCAAGGCACACATGAAATGAAGAAACAACAGGGAAAAGGCCACATGTCTCAATAATTACGATAATATGATCTGTTATTCCCTTGCTTTCTGGCTCTGTGTTTGAGATTCAGTGTTAATGTGCTTGTATAACGAAAGGTGTTTCCTCTGCTTGTTTATACTAGGTATGATTTCTAAACATCCTTGAAATTATTGGCCATAACATCTCTCCTCATAATGATATTGCTTCAACTTGAGCCACTTATGGAAAGTACTTCTTTCTATTTTTGAACAGAAATGACAGAGAGCCAGAAAAATATGTATTTGTTTGCCTTTCTATTTTTGGTTTGAAATTGCTGGAAGCCAGTAGGTGGGTTTTTATTTTATGTAGGAAGATTTTGTTTTCAAACTAAACCAAATATTATGTATGAGGAGTGGCACATAAATAATCGGTTCTAGTAAAAGGAAAAAGTTCTTGTTAGAAATTCTTCTGAAGTGTGGCTCTATTTCTGGAAATCCTTTCTTGCTTGCTTCAGCAGAGTCTTGTATCCTCTTCCATTTCCCTCAATGATTCTTTCACATGCAGAGGGGTGAGTTTTATAGGAACTTTGCTGGCACCAAAACATTGGTATGTTTTCCTTCGTCTTGTACACCGCACCAATTCATCATCTGTCCATTCTACCAACAAAAGGAAAATTATGTAGAGAGTTGACTAGTGCTTGTGTTAACAAAATTAAATCACCTGATCTCTCCCCTAAATGGATAACCACTAAGTTGGTATGTCTTTGGAAAATAAACTCTAGTGTCTACTGTTGGACTACACAGATTTTGGTCTACAGGAAGGAAGATTACAATCCATTATGAGGTCTCATCCCATTCAGGAGAACCAGAAGGTTTCCTAATTTGCATTCCCAGAAAACACTGGGAATAACTCAACCAAAACAGCAATCAAAATCCTATAGATTTCTTTAAGATTAAAAACCAAAATGAACAAAAATAATTCATTCCCAATATTATTTATTCTCTCTGCATTTACCCTAAAAAACCCAACCCCACCCAACTCCAAAAACCATTGCAACCAAGCAAAGAGCAACCCCCCAGCCACACCCATGAGTTTTATTCTCTTTATTTCATAGAAGACATTGGATAGTTTTGAGCTAGTGTTACTTACCATTTGTTGACTTCTAAATCAGCAAAATCAGTTCACATAACATAGCATTATCTTTGGAAAAGTGGGTTTTTTGGGGTTGGAGGATAGAGTTGGCAGAACAAAATGTATTAAAATATTTTTTTTTACTCTACTACCAAGATTTATGTTATATGAAAATACAACACAAAGCTGAAGTACACAAAACTTTCTCTTTTTACAGCTTTTCCATTAAGCTTTGAAACCATTCATGGAAGCTGATGGCAATGTTCTCGTAAGTATAATTGAAGTTATGTCAGAGTTATTGATCAGCTGAGGAGGTCATATCTTGGGATTGTATCCTTGTAATCATAGAGGACTATGAGGAGCATAACAGAATAGCATATGTGAACAACATCAATATTCAAACAAGATCTTGCTTCTAGGCCAGGCCAAGTGGTGAGGTTACCCCAGTTCTGCTCTAAGGATGAAATTAAATCTACTGCATGTGCCTGATGCCAGGGGTGCCCTCACTTCCAAGTCCTACCCTTCAATGGATGAGAAAACAGTAACATAAGATGCGAGCTTAGCAAAGGATTTTCTTAGCTACACATCTGTCTAGCCCCTAGGAAGCTCAAGAAAAGTATAGCTCTGTAGAATATAACTGTAGATCCTAGCTGCCTTTGGTGCCTTCTCAGATTCATGCACTGTGAGTTGAACTTCATGTGACATGAATCCTGGTGTTCACTGTTAGCCCAATGCCCCTGCTTTTCCTTGTAGAACCAACTTTTTTTTTCCTCTGAAACAGCTTCGTATACATATTTCACCCCATTTTTTTCTCCTGGGGACTTTGCATGTTGCAAGCCCTTCAGTCTCCAGGCAGATGCATCCCTTGGTGTGATCCTTGGCTGCTCCTGGCAGCTGCCCCAGATCCAAGACACCTACAGCCTTTGACACAGCTCCCCATGATTAGGAAGGGTCAATTACCCTTTAACTGGTGGTGGGGAGGAACCTACCCTGAGTGCAGCCAGCAGACCCACCAGTCTGTGCAGCAGGGCATGAAGAAGGAGAAAAATAAGGGGGGCTCAATTGAAACTGTGTTGCATTCAGGCATGGTGGTAACAGGGCAGCTTCCCCAGGTAGATGTAGGAATAGCTGCCCCTCCTGGGGCAGAGGCTTCCACACAGACTGTTTTTTTTTGAGGGGGTTTGCTGCCCTCCAAGTCCCAGATTGCAGGAGGTGTCAGGACCTCTCCTTGAGGCCAGGAGAGATGGCCCTTTGTCTTGTGGGAGCTGTGCCATCTTGGAGGAGCTGTGCTATCTTGGAGGAGCTGTGCTGGCAAGTGAAGGAGACAAAGGAAGAAGTGTGCAGACTGTGCAGCATCACAGTAAATGAAATGGAGAGAGATAGGGTCTTCTCTGAGACAAAATAGCTTGACGACCATCAGTCCCCACCTGCAATTGAGAAGTAGGCACTATCTACCCCCACTGTCAACGTAAGCAAAACTTCTGCAGAAGGAGAAGGATGGAAGTTGGTTATTTCTTGTATCAAGACAAAGGCTCCTACCCCTCCTAAGAACTTGCAACTGCAAAATATGTTGACTGCCCTCATAATTGAAGTGAAGCCAGATGTGCCTACTAGCAAAGGACCTAGTTTACCTAACTGTAAACCATGCAAGGCTGCCAAGAAGAAATGGTGAGACTGCAATGGGGGAGTCCCTGCTGTTAGAGACAGAGGCATCCCTCTGTAGGCCCTGACCAACCATCTAGAGAGGTTTGCTGCCTGGTGGGGCCAGGATCCAAGATCTTGTGGAGAGACTGACAAAGCCCATCCAGCCCTCTGACTTCTATCCCATATTGTTATTCCATTTGAGCACAAACAATACTTCGAGTGGAAGTACATGCTGGGGGCCGTAGAGCTGAAAAGTAGCTTTGCAGAAAAGGACCAGAGAGTCTTGGTGAACATCATGTTGAATATGAGCCAGAAACGTGCCCATGCTGCAATGAAGGCAAATGGTATCTTCAGCTGCATTAGACAAAGTATTACCAGCAGGTGAAGGGAGGTGATAATTTATTTTGTGCTGGTGAGGCTGCCCCTGGAATGCTGTGTCCATTTCTGGACTTCTCAGTTCAAGAGAGACGTGGAGGTACCAGTGAGGCCCAAGGACAATTAAGGGACTGTAGCATCTACAGTACAAGGGAAGACTGAGTGAGCTGGGACTGTTATCTTGGAGAACAGGCTCAGGGGGATCTTATCAATGTGTAAATACTTGAAGGGAGAGTGCGAAGAAAAGGACATGGTGGTAATGCCAGGTTGACAGTTGGACTTGATGATCTGAAATGTCTTTTCCAACCTTAAGAATTCTATCATTCTTTTCAGTGGTGCCCAGTGACAGGACTAGAAGTGATGGGCACAAACTGAAACACAGGGGGTCTCCTCTGAACAGTTCTTTACTGTGAGGATGATCGAGCACTGTCACAGGTTGTCAAGAGAGACTGTGGAGTCTCCACCTTTGGTGATATACAAAAGCTGTCTGGACATGGTCCTGGAAAACCAGTTGTAGGTGTGGGGTGAACTTAGATGACCTCCTGAAGTCCATTCAAGCTCAATCATACTGTGATTCTGTGGAAAAATAGGACCTCTAAACTGACAGAAGTCTTTGCTGAAGTTGTCATCTTTTCTCATGCTTTTGCTCATCCCTGGAGCCTGCCTGGCACAGAAGTGGCTGTGAATAATGTGCAGTCATACAGGTTCCTTTGTAATTGGCTCACGGGTGTATTTGCCAAGTGGAGGAGTAATGGATAGCAAGCTTGAAGTCTCTCTTGTTCTGCAGGATCACTATCCCATCCTGTTCAGCCCTCAGTAAACCCAAACCTACCAAAAAAAATTAAACCTGTTCTCTACTGCCAGTCTTGCACAAAAATGTATGTTTTTCAATTATTCAAGAGCTTTCTGAGAATTATTGCTCTTAGATTTCCCCTGGTAACTAGAAAAGATAGAAATAGATCTGTTGTTCTTGGTTTGTTTTCAGTTGAACCTGCGATAATGAAATAAATAATTTCTGACTTTGAGCTTTATAGAAAAGCATCCACCATTGTCAGAAGCAAAACCATTAGTTTCAGATTGTTCCAGTGACTATGTCTGCCACTTACAGTACATTCATATCTAAAACAGCTGTTATGCCCCTGGTACCACTGGTTTTATTGGTAGTAACTCTACCGTAAACAGTTTTCTCTCTGTTCTGCACTGGTAAGAATGTCTATAAGAGTGAAACTTAAAAGTATCTCTCAATCAATATTCAACCCGGGTTCACTGAAACAAAAGATTATTAACTTTTATAAACCAGTTTTCAGAGGAGGAAAACTTTAATTTACTTCTTGAGGAAAGGTTTGCCACTGGAGACTTGCTAATGTGTTGTATTCTCGTGAAAAATTGAATCCAAACTCTGCTGGTGAGGCATTTTATGAATTTTTTGGTAGATTCATTTAAATGCAGGTTTCCTATTGGTTTGAGATGAAAATAGTTAAACAGTTAAAACTGTTTGTTTATTTCATAAAATATCTATCTGACTCCAAACACTGTGCTTTGGAGAAAGAGGTTGTTTTTATTTGTTTATAAATCAACAATATTTGGGAAGGCAATTTTGTGAATCGTGCCAGATTTTATTACTGCAGTTGGGGATAAAAGCTTTCTCTTGTGCAGAGCAAAACAGCTATTTTTTATAGGATGAAGCTGGGTTTCTGAACAACACTAAGACACATTTAAAAGTTGCCAAATTCCAGGTTTAGTATTAATTTGTTGAATATTTACTTCAGTTTTCAGGAATATTGGGAAAGACAACTGGAAATGTATCTTAATTAAAAAATTTTCATTCAATAGTGATTTTGTTACAGATTTATTACTAATTTTATTAAGACAAACTAAATACAGTGCTGGCTGAAGAAAATCCCCTTTCTTCCACCATTAATTTCCCAAATCTTCCCATAAAATATGAAGAAAAGTGGGTTCATCACCCCTATCCACTTGCAGCAGGATATCATCATTGCCACTGAATAATAAATGCAAATTTGTAAATTCTTTTACCAAGCCCAAGTTCTTACTAGGTAATCAGTTTTTTCCTCAGTCTGATATAAATGGGGCTCTAGCAGATGATTTACATAATGTGGGTATTTAACTCTTTCTTGACAGGTGACCTATAGACCATGTTATTTGCTTTAGATCATCAACAAGGTTAGTGGAAAGACTGCTTTTTCCTCACTTGTGTAGAGAGAGCCACATCCTGTCTCAGGTCTTGTACAACTTTATGTTGGTTAAAGATGAAATGACCTCACTACAGTATCATGTGATGTTGCCTTTACTACTTAGTTTTTGTGCAAGGAGAGCTGATTTATATTTAATTTTCTTAATATCATTTTGGGTTTCTCTAAAGGAAAGTAATTAGTTTGTCTGTGTGACCCACTGATTCCCTGAGGCCATATATTATTTCCACGAGTCCTCACCAGGGCATTACTTTCTTTGAAATGGCACAAAGGGTGGCCTGCACAGGATGGGGAAATGACAGAGACTCTTACAGAGCTGATGTGTTTTCTTATTGCTTTTCTTTGTGTGTTGTCATGGAGAATAGTCTGAGAGAGAAAAAGGCAGTGGTAGAATTAAAAAAAAAAAAGGAAAAAAAAGGAAAAAAGAATATGCAACGATTAAGCAGGAGTCTGGGATTATTCATTCCTGGTGAAGCTTCCCACAAGCAGGTTGTTCAAGTTGTCTCAATTAGGCACCAAATAAGCACACCATGGCAGTACACATTCTGCACTGTGTGATACATGCTGCAAGGATCACTGCTTAGGGAAAGTTGTAGCTCTTGTAAACACTGGCGGCAGGGATCTCTTCTATTACTATTTGCAGACAGTCTAGCTTTACTCACCTTTAATTTGCCTATGAGAAGAGCCATCAAATTTTTCAAGAATGATATGAAATCGGGTTTTGTTTTCCTGAGAAGCTGGAAAGGCAAAGGAGCTACATTAGGGATGTTCATAGCGTAGCTCTGCAGCGGATCAGGTAGCTACCAGCTTTGCATAGCAACGTTGTGGCCAGCATATTAAATCATATGTCATTTTATCCAGCATTTGTCATCCAGAGGCTTCAAAACCTTCCTAAAAATAGAAAAAGGTGAATGCTTTAGTTGCCACACTAGAGATGGAAAGGTTGAGGCAAGGAGGAGTCAAGTGCTTCGTCCACAATCACACAACTAACCAACCTGTCTAGGGAGAATTTACTCCAAAAACCAGACCTTCCATTTTCAATGACCTCCTTTTTTGGTCTGTGGTCTTCTGTTTTAGTTTCATTTTCCATGTGTTTATGCAGGATGAAATATATAGACTGCAAATGAGTAAATATGATTCAATTTTGTTATTTTTAAACTTCCATATATGTTGTGTGATTTTTTTTTTTTGTTAAGAAATATTATGAAACTCTTACAGAGGAAAAAACACATGCTTTATACTAAAATAAAAAAAAAGAAAAAAGGAAAAAATTTTTTTTCTTTTTCAGGATTTCTTAGAATGAGCTAAATGACTATCAGTCACCTGGCACGTATTTCAGTGTTTCCATGTTTGTAAATCTGGCTTATGGAGCATAATGAAGCATTGAAATGCTGGAGTTTTAACTTCAAAATGCAGAATACAATTCAGGCAAACACAGTAAAGTAGAAGCTGCCTGTGGGTGCAGAACAGGAAGCACTAGTAGACAGACACATGTAATAGAATTATGTTTGCTCTTGCTCAACTAGATGTACATCAATTTTAATTAACATATTTTATGCTTCAGCTACTAACGTCCCTTCAGCAGTGAGTGGGTTATGTGTTTCCATCCTGCATATACCACCAGCATCACCACCACGTCCTTCTCTATCTTCCCCCTCCCCTTTCTACACAAATGTTGCAACACAATCTGAAATTTCCTCTTTTCTTTCCTTCCTGCATTTCTTACAGGTTCCTTTGCGTCAGAAGGCAAAAAAGAAAAGTCAAGGTAATGAGAGATTGTTTTTTCTTTTCTCTCACGGATTCCTCTGTTATTTTCTTAGTGTGTCTTATTCTTGAGAGGGTGAGGATTTTGTACTGCTACTCAGCTGGTGGAAGGCTGCTTTTTAACTCCACTGATTCTTGAACTGATTCTGAGAAAAATGACAACGGGCTGTTCCTTTGGACTAAATCCTTGTGGTATGTTAATTGAATCAAAGCTGGTAATCAGTGAGCTAGAATCAGCTGCCTGCATAGAGATACACACTAGCGGTTTTCATGTACTTGGCATAATAGTTTTCTCTAGCTGACTTAAATAGATGTATTCTTTTCAGTGCAGCTGTGTGAAGGAAAATATATGCATGCTTCTCTTAAAAGGATCAAAGGATGTATTTTTAATTTACTACATCTTGTGTATCTTACAATTAATTAGTGTCTGCATTATCTATAGCTTACTATTTTGTTTCTGAACATCAGCATGCCTTTCAAAAGAATGTGTGTTACTGTCACAGCCATTGTAAAACTGAACGACTTCTAAGTATATTTTAAGATATGCTTGGATGATTTTCTGAGATTGCTAAGTAAGGTTGACATCTTTAATTGGCAGCAACATCTTTCCTGGTAATGCACTTTTAAGAAAGCAGAACACTGTATTTTTAATGGCACAGGATTCTTTATAATGAGCCGACGGAGGATATCGTGCAAAGAGCTGGGACAGGCGGATTGCCAAGGATGGCTCTACAAAAAGAAGGAAAAAGGAGCTTTCATTGGCAACAAATGGAAAAAGTTCTGGTGTGTGCTGAAGGAGTCATCACTGTATTGGTACAGCAGTCAGCTGGTGAGTACAGTGTACATCCAGCTCCGGGTGCCAGACAAACAGCATCTGCTGGGACTGAGACAAGGGCAGCTGTGGTTACAGTATAGATGCACCCTGGAGGAGTACAAATAATGGGGTTTATTTCTCAGTCCTGACATTTCCTGTGATCTGGGAAGTGTATATGTGAATGTGACATATGCAGAAAACTGCTTTTTCTAGTTCAGCAAGTACTTGTGAAATGTTAACTTGCTGTCTGTTCTGCCCTGTAAAAAGCTGTTTTTTGAAGTCACTAGTGGTCTTTGAATTTGGAAAAGATTTTCCTGGGTTGAGCAGTTTGCAGACACTTGCTATCAAGACTCAAAAGAAGAATTCTTCTTCACTTCTGATAAATGTAATTTTCAGAAGTGTCTCTCCTGTTTTTCTCTCCATCCCCTTCCACATGGAGAATATTCTGTTTATTTGTCTGATTGGTTTCTCTTTTTTCTTCTATTTTTTTCTCTTTTCTTAATTTTTTTTCTTTCTTCTTTTTTTTTTCTTTTTTCATTTCAAGTGCTAGAGAATAGCTGGCTTTACTTCAGACTGGTTCGATTGGGCAGAGAGGATGTCTTGCCCATTCTAGGATGATTCAGACAGAATTATTCCCTTCTCTTTGCTCTCTTGCATTACTACCTCTAAAAAGCTGCTATCACAATCAAATGATGAAGTGGCAGAGTCCAGAATTAGGGTATGCAGAGGATTAGGGGATGCCAGCAAAAACATAGGTTGAAACTCAGCAGCTTCAGTGTGGAATTGTGAATGGACATCAGGTTCCCTAAATGCAAATGAGCTTCTTTGAAAATCAGCATTTCCCAGGCCCAGCAAAAGATGAGAGTTTAAAGAAACCCTTATTAATTCTTAGAGCATTTAAAAAAAATGCTATCTGGATTGTTTCTACTTGTTTATTTCTGTTGCAGTAATCCCCATTAAAAATCTTGCTAACTGCTTCAGGGAACAAATAAAATAGTTTAAGCCATTAAAAAATTCCCATACCCTAAAAAAAAGCTTAACTCCTGTGCAGAGTATTCCACATTCTCCCTTTAGTTGTGGGTATAGTGTTATTGTTTTTTGTGGGTTTTTTTTAGGGTGGTTTTTTGTTTGTTTGATTGATTTATTTAATTTTTTGTTTGTTTATTTTAAATCAGAATAAAAATTTTGACTGGTACTTAAAGATGGTATTAGCTATTCCTTTCTGGGGACAAGTGAAAGCAACTCTGCTGGTCTTGGGCTGTTGTTTTTTTATGATGTTGTGGTAGTCTGATATAGATTTCCTTCAAGACTAAATCAGATACATGCATGAGAGGAAGGAAAAGAACAGGAAAATTAGGAAAGAAAAAAATATTTAAAAGCCCTTTTTTCCCCCAATGCTTACAATATCTTTGCTTGAAAGATATGGCCTGGTAGATATACTCCCCAGCAGCATTAATACCTTGCAAACACTTATTAATATCAGCTGTTAGAAATCTGTGTACCTCTGGGCAAGCAGTTTTGAGAAAGGTGAGCTGGCTGGCTGATGTGTCCTTTAGACATGGGAAGTATCAGAAAGGAGTAATTCTGAGGAGTAATCAAGCTGGGAGGAAATATAAAAAGGCACAACCAGGCAAAGTTTGCCTTCTGGGAAGAGAAGGGTGGTGGGGGAGAGGTGCAAAGCCCTCCACTTCCTTCGGTTGTTGTGGCCTGGCTAAATGCTGCTCTTGGGATCCAGAGAAAACATGATCATGATGGTCCCAGTGCTCTAGACAGCACTCATCCTGCAGTCCATGTCTTTCTGACTGTCACTGACTGCCCCCAAATGAACAAGTGTCAGCCTCATTCCAGTTTATTTTATTTGCTCCGAAGAGCTCATATAGCTTCAAAATACTGTTGGCTTGTGTCAGTCCTGAGTTCTCACCTATCACAGCTGTTCCTTAAACATGCTAGCTGGTAGTGCCTCTTTGCTTTCAACTTCTGCCAACTCTCACATGCTATTTTGTATTGAAAACTCCAGGTTTCTTTGGACAACTTACAGTGCAGCCTCTATGTAACTAGATTCAGGTAATGTTTGCAGAATGTCAGTAACTACAGGGTTTGGAAAGGACAGAAGGTGTCCTTTGCTAAGACCTGCTTTCTTAAATTTGTGAGACCAGAGACACGCTCAGAGACCTGAGATCAATTAGACCTGATGCATTTTCACAAATGTTTTCACCTCTAGACTGATGAAGGAGAAATAGCAGTGACATATTCACTTGCTTTCTTGATATTTCTTTTAAGTCTCTGGCCTGGCAATAGTACTACCTCTCTGCCACTGTCTTCAGTAAAGTTAATCCTCAGTTCCAGTGGATCATACAAGATGGCAATCTAAAGTTTGGAGTTCTTTTGAAAGAGGAGTCCTGCTTACCACGTGTCTGAGGCTTCCTGTTATTGGCCCTCTTACAGAGGCTGAAGCAAAAGGTGGTGGTGAAAGAGTGGGGCTGAGGTTAAAGGAACCATGGCACACTGTTTGCCTGTAGCTCTGCCTGACCAGTTTTGTTCTTGTGAGAAACGAGTATGTTTTGTTTGTGGCTGTGTGAAAACCAATCACTGGTAACTGTAGCATAGCAACAGGGTGCTGGACCTATTTTTCTAATGGAGAAGAGGAAAATAGGGAGTGGGTGGAATTTGTGCAGGAACGTGCATCATCCTGGATTTGGATAGATAACCTCAGCTGACATTATGTTCTTGGTGAAGTCTGTCTTCAGGTGCCTCTGAAGCTCTGGATGTTTCTGTTACTCTGGTTTAATTTGCCTTCAAGCTACTCTGGTTCTGGGTCTTTCATGTGAGACAGATAGGGGGACGCGATATAGGACACTCATGACATTTGCATGATATTTTCTTCAATTTAACATAAGATACTTTGTGAATGCCACAGCTCGAAAGAGAAAAAAATAATAAAATTCTGAGACAGATCAGCAATAGTAGATCAGACACCCTGAGAGTCAAGCTTCTTCATTGAAAGTAAACTAGAGAATACACGCAAATCCGTATAAGCCTTTGATGAACTATCTGAGGTACTGCAAGCAGTGAAGTTAGGGTCCAGTGGTCTAGTTAGGCTTGGGTAGGCTGCCCTGGAATCTCTCCTAAACACCCTTCCTCTTTATAAAATATGAGGCAGGTAAATTTCTGTTTGCAGCATGGATGCACTCATAATCTCGGGAGGGAAGCTGTTTGAACTAAGAGGAAACAGAAGGGTTGGCTTTGCAATGGTAACACAGAAAATGTCAGAAAATGGATCTGAGCAGTCAGACTTTCTGGGTGCGTACAGGAACACCAGACTCCTTGGACAACTGCTTTTCATTAGCGTTTGATCCCTTTTTTTGAGCACTGCTGTCTGCAGGCAGCTGCCTTGAAGACAAGCGTTTAAAGAGGACAGTGTGAGATCCTGTCTAATACTTCAGCAATTTTAGTTCTCATACTGAAACCCCAGAGGGAATCAGTACTCCTGTAGGAAGAGGGGGGTGGGGAGGGTGAGAATCATCACATATAAACCCAGGTTCCCAGATCTTTGTGCTTGTTTTGACTGTGTTGGATAGTATTGGCTGGAATGGGACAAAAGACTAAATCCCTCTCTCTGGTGGGTCTTTAGGATAGCTTGACTGGTTTTCCAAGTACAGCTGAAATAGAGTTTTGCAGAATGTGTTAAAGATGGTTGTCATGGGGATTACGCTGAAAAAAAAAGATATAAAATTAAAGGGTTGCAGGCTGTGACCTACTGTCATTATTTATCTTTGTGTTTGGTTGTGGGGTTTTTCCGATTTACTGCATTTAAATTGGTCCTCACTCTAGCAGCTTTTCTGGAAGCTGTATAATTACAATCTTTTAAACCAAAAATCTTTTACCTTTGAGTTGTAGTTGCCGCTCACACGGGCGAGAAAAAGTCATTGATGTCGGCTGATTGTCTTGAGAGCTTCGGGGACCTCTGGTCCAGTATCTTACACAAATTATTCACAGTTCTATGGGTTGCCTCATTCATGTACTTGGCAGAGAGAAAAAAGACTGAAAAGGTTTGAGGACTGAAGTGATCCTCCAACATCCACAAGGTATTCTGTGGGCAGTGCTGAAACACTGATGAAGCCATGAGGAGTACCCTGATTTGCAGACCGGAGCTGTTCCACAATAACAAGATATTTCATGTTACAGCACTATTTTTAAAAATCTTTCTGTAACATTACACTCACTTTAAATGACTTACTAAATCTCCTAGAGCCACAACATTTAGATAACATATTGAGGCAAGCTGAAAAAGACATTAGCCTCTTTCATTGGATTCATGCATTATGTTTCATAAATAAATTCTTTTTGGACTGCAAAGCTTTTTCTGTGAAAAAATGGTCACTTTTTTTGCCCCAAGTGTTTGCAGAGACTGTTGTTATTACTGAAATTATTTTTCTACAACTTAGTGTAGCAAAAGTACAGATTTTTGTGTTAGGCTAGCCTTCATAAAAACCACAAGAGATAAGAGCTTATTCTTTTAAACAACTTGATCAAGTAGAAAACAGGTCGAGGTTCTTTTTATCTGAGTTTTTTAGGACTATTTTACAGCTTTGCATCAAAATCACAAGGATGCTTGAGTGAAATGTGTGAGTCAAACAACAGCATGCTAAAGTCATGCTAAAGATAACATTTTGAAGAAAGAAAGCATTTATGATTTCTATACACTTTTAATGTTTTAAAATTATTTTTCCCCCCAAGAATGACCAAAAAGATGACTTCCACATGTTCTATTCCTACGGTTTATTTGGAATTCTATTTGCTGACTATAATAACACTCATAAGGTTTTAATGTTGTGACTTCCTTTTTTTCCTTCCTTTTTTTCCCCTGATAATTATGGAACTACATACCCATCAAATTCCTCTTTTCTGTTACATAGATGGCACGTTTCAGATGTGTACAAGTAGTGCATTAAAAAGTTCACACCATTATCCTCTTCATTTATAACATGTAAGAAAGGCCAACCTGCCCCAGACCCAAGTCACCCACTCACCCATCTGATGGCTTATCCAGCTCAGGCCACTGATTTACTGCTGTGCGTGTGAGAATGTATTCCTTCACACAGGGTCTTGCTCTTAAACTGGGTTTATTGATTCATACTGCAGAGAAACAACTGGCATTGTATAAATGTTTCATCCAGCAATGCGTGCAATAGTGACTTTGATACCTCAGGGACTGCTTTTTTGAGATTGGTCTCTGGTGTTCTTGGAGTAGTCTTGGGAATGAAACAGGATTTTCAGTTTTCTTGCTGACCCAATCCAGTAAGTGACCACTCTTTCTGGTACAGAAATGCAGGTAATACATTCTCTATCTTTAGTATAATGCAGCCCATGAATAGAGCTCCTTCTTTACTCACTCATACTCATTGGCTGATCCCTATATATTTAGTATACTATGGATCTGAAATGGTAATACTTGCTTAAGGTCTAAGTGATTGACATACACATTATGGAAAATAAAAAAGAAAGACTTTTACAAAATCTTGTCAATTATTTTTTTGTTATTTTATCTCAGTGAGTTTAGTCTCATGAAATGTCAACCTGTGGAATGTAAACAAAAGCTCCCCAAGCCAGCCTCGAACTGATTTTTACAGATACAAATACAATCAGAGAGAGTTAAAAGCCCACAATAGCAAATAAGTACTTTTTTATACAAACATTGCAAAATCAAGATATTTTCAGTCCAGATGTGGAAAAACATCATTGTTTCTCCTATACCTAAAGAAAATAACGAAAAGCCCTTCCACTGCTGCTTTTTTTTCTATGTGTATATGTGTGTGTGTCGTGGAGCAGCAACTCGCAATGATGCAAAAAATATAAACCTCTCTTCTGAATGTTTAATACAGGTAAATGACAGGAATGATGGTTATGCCATGGTTTATTGTATACCAAAGAACAGATATGCAGAGCTGTGGGGAAGCCACCCACTGAAATATCCATTCTGTATCTGTATTTCCATTCTTGGAGGTTCATACTTCCAAGAATTAAAGCTCAAAGACTTGTCTTGATGAACATCTTTTTATAGTCACATCATATTCATGCATAATGCGACTTGAGATACTGTCAGTCATCTTCATTTATCCTCTGCCTTTGTAATTGTTGTGTATATTTTACCTGCTTTAGCTCAGTGTTCATTTTCAGAATCTTAATGTGCCTAGGGATAGTGGCTGGGTGCAGCAAAAATGGGATTTAGGAATGAACATTTTCTATGTCTTGGAAAGTACATTTTTTCCTGACATTACATGCTAGAGACTTTTGTCTATATTATATATTACTCATCTTAGGAAGAGTCCTAATCTCATTGCAGATGACCAGGTGTATGTAGATAGATCACGTAAAGGAAGATATTTCCACTTGAGATGTTTCAGTTTCAGGCAGCAAGAACAGGAATTTGAGGCTTACCGGTCACCTCAGTTTTGCTGGAGCGACTCTCTAACAGAGAGTCCTGGTCACCTAGAACAGAGATGTCACCGCTCAGTAAACCTTCTTGCATCCAGAAAGGACTGACTGGATATAAACAGTGTACTGTAAATGTCTGCCTGGCTTTTGTTACCTCTTGTACCATGCCAGAAAATTTCTGGGGGGAGTGATAGCTGGGTGGCCAAAGCCACCTGAGGCTGGTTTACAGCGTTTAACAACAGAGCTCAGCTGTGTGGGATCATCCCCTTGCACTGTTCCACCTTGTGGGGTGGGAGTAACCTGTATTGCCTCTGCCTTGCTCATGTACAGACATATGTAGGTGATCCTGCAAAATGGTCCATGCTACAATTATGCAGGGGACACCCTCCTCTGTTTCTGCTTAGAATCATTTTGGGTCACTTTTGAATTGTATTTTTCAGCTATATATGGATCATTATATGTGGTGCTGTTACATACATGCTTCATCATGGAACAAACGCTCCTTTATGATTGTATGTAACATCAAGACCTGAAAGGATGATATAACCCTTATTCATCCTTATTAATCAACAAAACCTATGCTCACACTCTGCCACTTGCACCAACAAGAGTGGTGGCTTTCTAGCATCCAGGGTTTGCACAAATATAGATCACAGAGGAATATTTCTTTGGTGTTGATCTGTCCCCATGGTGATGAGCATGTATTTTTACAGTATAAAAAGCTGTCAAAAACAAGAACTTGCATGCTAAATATTATTCAGCATTGGAGTTTGCTAGCTTGCTAATTGGTTGATATGGTGATATTTTTTTTTTTTTTTTGAAGGCTGAAAAAGCAGAAGGATTTATCAGACTTCCAGACTTCAGTGTGGATCGAGCAATTGAATGCAAAAAAAAGCAGTAAGTTTATCTCTTGTTCCCAGTTTTGCATGATTTTTACAACATTGCAAGGAATGAATCTCAGTAGTCTTTGACAACAAAGCTGTGGGGAGTTCTTTTGTGTTGTATAAATAATGAGATATTAATTGAGCTACTGAAAGGAAACCATATTGCAAAAATATTTTTTAAAAATCTCTGCCAGATGTGCTTTGCTAGGACTACAAATAAAAAAAATAGATCAGTGTGCCAAATGCTTTTTTTTTAACTCCTTCTTTTTGTACAGCCATTATGAGTAAGCTTGTAGTCTGTCTCAGATAGCTCCTCTTAGTTGAGGAGGTCAGCAGTGGTGCAAGTAGTGCCACTTCCCTCCAAGCTGAGACTGTTCTTTAGGCTTCTGTGGTACAACTGAGCTTGGGCTGTACTTGAAGCCTTTGGTTGTGCAGGGAATAAAACCTTTGTTTAGCAGGGTGCATATTTGAAAATATTGTTTCCAAACTCCCTATGCAGCACTGATTTCCAGCTGCTTCTGAGCACACTTCAAAGGTTTGGAGGGGTGTTGCTGTTGTTCGAAGTTATAAAGCTCAGTATGATTTTTATTGTGTCTCCCTCAAGAGAAAGCCTTCATTCTTCTGTTCGGGTCTCATGCTGCAATTGCTGTAGGTGTTCTTGAGGTTAACTGTGGGCTGGACTCCTCCAAGGAAAGGGGGCAGCTATTTTGAATATGGGGCACTCCATTTTGTTTTCTCAGAGGAGAAGTTGAGTCACATAGTACAGAACCATGAGAAAATGTCTTTCACTTCAGTGGCTGTTGGCTGGGAGGGAAATGTTCTCATCACTTGTTTGGATAAGTTAGGGAAACCAGTACTGCTGGGTCAGCTAGGGCCCAGTCAACTATGTGTGTGTGCTTCCATGGGACAGTCACCTAATGAGGTACAGAAGAGCGAAGATACACAATCTTAGGCTTGGACACTATGTTTTAGGTAAAAAAGGCACTGAAAACTCTTAGTGGTGGATATTCAACTAAAGCATAGTTTGGGGCTGAGACCCACAGATTAACTATTGGAGGTAGCCAGGGGACTAACTCCATTTTATTTGTTTCACACCTACCATCTATTTGCCTCTTTGGTCCCCCCTAAAACTTGTCTTGGAAAAGTCATTGAAGAGTCAGTCACTGTTTGCCAACTGTGTGCCACTTGTGACTTTACTGTGTCACATGTCCCTTCCCGCAGCCATCAGTTTTCCATGCTGTGGGGTCTTAGCCTGATTAATCACTCATGGAAGCTGTTCAGTGCCTTGGGTCACTGCTGGTACTTCCTCTGAACTTTTTCAGGCTTGCTTTAATTTTAGAGCTGGAGGAAGCAAAACTGCACGCAGTATTTGAGGTTTAGGAATGCAACAGAATTATGTAATGAAACAATGGAAGTCTTTTTTTTTATTCTTTATTCCTTCCTTTTTAGTTCCTGTGGTTTATACTCTCTGAATAATGTGTGGCCAAGGAAGTGAGCTAAAAAGAGATTAGAGTTTTAAGGGAAGAGCTGTATGGATGGACAAGTTAATCTGGACTAATACAGTGGAGTGAATAGATATTTTAAATAATTAATTCAGCTATTATTTTTTCTTTCTTATATAAACTAGTTTTCTTTTTATCTCTTATATTTTTCTTTTCCTAAAGTGCTATTAAGATCAGCCACCCACAGATCAAGACATTTTATTTTGCGGCAGAAAATGTTCTGGAAATGAACACGTAAGTAGGAGTGACTGGTCATGTTTCATCCTGTCTTATGCATGAGAACACCCTTTGAAAGTTCATTCTTTCACTGTCAAGTGGTTATTGACAAAGTTATTTGGGGAATTACTGAGTCTGGTTTGTTTTCTGATAGCTGAATGGAAGGAAACTGAAGAAATTTGTTCCCTAATGATACTTGAAATCAGAATCATATAATTAACCCAATTTTGATACTAATCTTCCCAACATTTGCTGCTAAAATTCCTTTCGATAGAGAGGTGCTAAGATTTAATAGTAAGTTCATCACCTTGGGAGAAGCGAGGGCTTAATATAGTTTTGTCCCAGAAGTGAACCAGGACTAGAATATAACAGCGTCTGCATTCAGAGTAGTGCAAAACTGTTGCAGTTGAACAATCCTCATGACAGATCAGAAATTTTCTTTCCACAAATGCCCAGCAGAAGAACAACCAGATAGTTATTCTATTAATGCAAGAAGTAAAAATGGATATGAATTCTGCCATTTTGGAAGTCACAGAGCTATCAGAAAGACATTATTTTATACTGATCCAGATATATCTCATATCTTCTTTGTCTTTTTTACTTCAGATTGCAGTCTATTCACAATGCTATTGCATTAAATGGCCAAATACTGGACACAAAGTGCTACAATTTAAATAGGAAGGGAGATCCTATGGTAGTCAGCTCAGGATTTTAATGATGGCTCTGCTGTTGATCTTTATGAGATTCTTCATAGGTCATTGACTATTCTTTCCCTCTATAAATAGGAGACCTCATGCATATTTACTACAATAGAAAAGGAGAGAGTTTGAGAGAATGAGTGTGACCTCCTGAAAGGCCTATAGATTCAGAAATGTACAATACTACAGTAGTGTATGTGCATACATATAAATAAATCTGTACTCTATAGATGTATGCAGGTTAATATAGAAGGAAAGAATGCATTGCCCTTTGAAACTTGGAGAAGCATGGAGCATTCTGGTGGGGAGATAACCATCCATTTCCGTATTCCTGCATTTCCTACCAGAGCTCCTGAATGGAGTGACAGTTCTTGAGGCAGATAGGGTGAGGATGACTGAGAATGAGGGACTGCTGGACAGGAGTGTTTCTATAGAGAGAGTAACCCTGGTTGAGAGCTAAGAGATGGAAGGATGTTTGGAGAAGGAAAATTAGAGCTAATGGAGGACATTAGTGAGTGTTAACAGCCAGTTTGTAGCCCAGCTGGAAATTCTCATGTGAGACATGTTTAGTCTCATGGGAGTCAGTGATTGAAACCTACACAGGTGTCCCAGCTCTTATGCCCCCAGAATGATTTTCTTCAAACTCTACTTTTTGTGTAAATTTCATTTTGGCTTAGAACTATTTCACCTAGTGTTAAAGCAGCTTGCACTATGCTGCACTAATTTCTCACTGTTGCAGCTGATGATGTTTTCCTTTGCAAAGTATAAAATACATGCATTTAATACATAAAGTACGCACATACTCACGCATATGTCAAAACAGACTAAAAGACGTCTGTTCTCTTGGCTCCGGTCCTGCAAATACATATGTGAGTGGCTCCACTGAACTCACTGGAGCATTTGTGTGTGTTGAGTTACTGGCATGCGTCAATGCTTGAAGGATCATGACCTTTTGTAACTCTTCATGCATGTATCTATATGTGCATATACCTACATGTATATCTATTAAATCAACGGTGGATTTATTAATACAATCATTTGCTTCATTAATTTAGCATATACTTGCAATTGTCATGCACACATGAAAAGTAAAGGCATGCTGACTAGCTGCATGCATTTAGCTGGCCAGTTGTACATAGTTGTTAGTGACTTCTCTTCCGTTGTCATTAATGAAGTCCTAGAATTTTTTTAGCAAATCTTTTCTTTTGTTAAGGTGGGTTTTCATTTAAAAAATCATTCTGTTGTGATTAACTGTCAGAAAAGAGTCAATAAACCACTCTTACAGAAATGACTTTTTCTGAGTTGTTAGGTGGCTCTATTGTTCATACTGCAGTCTAAAACTGTAGTTACTTTGATCTTGCTAGCAAATTTTCTATAGCTTTATTAGAACCAAGATAAAACAAAATGGGTTTGGGTTCCCCCCCCCCCCCCAGTAATGAATTTTAATTCCTGTCCCTCGTACAATCCCTATTCAGGCTTGAGTTTTAATGTGAAAGGCTTGAGCTTTTTCAACCGTTAGTTTCTTAAAACGTGGATAGATCGGAATGATATACAGACAAACACAATACACAAAAAGTATATCTAGGGGATGTTTTTAGCTCTAGAAAAATGCAGCCTCCTAAAAAGAGAAATTAAAAAAAAACATTACTAGTAGCTTAAAGCAACACAGGAAGTAAGACTTACTAAACCTGAAAGGACATAGGAAGTTGAAGAACAGAATATTATGGTCAAAAAGTCTGGTTTTAAATGACTCAGATTCTTAGATGGTGATGCAATAGTTTTGGCCAGGCCATCTGACATCATCTTCTACGGCTCCCATGCCTTTGCTTCATCTGAGGTGAAAGGTGACACCTCAATTACTGGACTAAATCACTGACATGGTGATATAGCACAAATACTTTTCCTTTAGCTTCCACAAATGCAACTCCTTGGTCATCAGTAGTGCTTTTTTTCCAGGATCAGGTAAAGAAGACGCCCAAGGCAATTAATCCTGCTCACCACAGGGAATATTAGTATTCAGATAACTGGTGTCTTTCTAGAAGAGGATCTAAGAAATAGAAAATTTGACATTTTGTCTTCAGACTAATGAAAATAGATGTGGTGATGTCGAACACAACTGAAAGGAGCAAAACTCTGTCTGTCTGAGGAGCATGTAAGTACCCCTGACTATATTCCCTCTGTTTCAAACACAGGTGGCTAAGTAAGCTGGGGATGGCTGTAGACCCTCAGGCACCAAACGGGAAGAATGAGGAAGGTATGCTCCTAACTGGTTTCAGTGTGTAACTACATTGTGTTCTTCACAGTTTTTGTTTGACCAAATTTTTGTCAGCTATTTTCTTTCTTTTAAACCGTCATCTTGAGTCTGTCTGCTGTCTGAGCTCAGAGAAACCGCAGTGACCTGGCACAAAGTAATCACAGAAAAAGAAAAAATAGTGAGAAACAGTGTGACTGAGGGAGACACTGTGATCTTGTGAGAAGTGTATAACTACTTTCTGGCAGTTTGCTGTCTTGCTAAGCCTACCAAGTGTGAAGAGAAACAGCTGTGCTGCTCTGGGTTTTGAGCTGGTGACTTATATTACAGGAGCTGTACAACAGCATAGGAGCTTGCAGACTTGGGAACAACTTGTGCACTGTAGACTCATCCCTAATATCTCGTCCATTCCTGGACGTTTCAACAAGATCAGTGTAGGGGAACAATGGGATGGTAGCACTATTCTGAAGCCTACAATTTCCTTCAGAGCCAGGCTCAGGAGTTCATCAGGAAATGAGTAACTTTAAAAGTTCCCAAGAAATTTATTTATTGTCTTAATTTGCACATTGACCTAATAGAACTCTTTGATGGGAGTATACCTGTGTTCAAATCACAAATCTGGGCAGAAGACAAAGCAAGTCACCCGTCAGGGCAGTTGGAAAAGCTGCTCATGGGGACACATGTGCTGGGAGCGGATTTAGAAAGAGAAGTGTTTTGGGTAGTATTATGTTACCAAACCAGGGATGGACTCTAACATGAGGAATATGTGCCATCATTTGGGCTTTTGACCCTCCAGTTTTAGAGTATTGGTACTCAATGCCCTTTTTAGAACTGTTCAGGTTGTGAAGGACCTGTCATTATGAAGAAAAAGCTGTTTTTTGCAGTAGTATGAACACTTAGGTGATGCAGCCTGTTTTGTCTAAGCACTGAAATGTTCCTCTTTACGTCCCTTCTGCTTTTTCCCAGAATTCAAGATTGTGGTTTATGCCCATGCTTGGGACATGTAATTCCATTATTGATTAGTTTGATATGGCTTTGTTTATACTCTGGCTTCATTTATACTGTACTATTAAAGGAGCTTTGGGGCTGGTAAACACAGATACCACTGACTCAGCATGTCTCATCAATTTATTTTTTTTCAGTTCATGGTTGTTTTTTGTCAGGAAACTTGTTAATTCCTACACTGTCTAATTCCTCTTAAATGCCTATGTCCTCTTTGAGCCCAGTTTTGTGTCAAATCAGTTTAGGATAAAGGGCTATATTCAGTATTAGGCGGTGTAGCAAGAACTGCAAGGTAATTGTACTCAGTGAGGAAGTGTGCAAATATGTTGTCCATGTTTTCACAAAGGAAGGGATTGATGGAAAATGAGGATGGCCAAAATTTTATACATGAAAACAATTTTTTTAAGCTTCAAAAATTGTAGTATTTGTTGTATTGGCTGAATTGAGAATTATAAAACAATACAAAATTAGCCACTCCACTAATCTTAATTAAAAAAAATATGACCAAAAGATACAAAATAATCCACTCAATAACCTCTGCAGCTAGTTGTCTGATTACCCTTCAATAACATAACATAGCCGAGATTTCTTCAGGTTTTAAAGCTAGTGGCCCATCTCCCCTTCAGAAAAAGGCCTTCTGATTCTGGTGTCAAACACCTCCTTGTCTTTTCACGCATGTTTTGTCACAGGTGATCAAGCAGCTGTCTTGAGTGTGGGTGCAGCACCCACTGATGTGCCTGGATGGATGTGCCCTTGCAGAGGCATTGCTGTGCTTCAGAAAAACGCTGTCAGTACCCACAGTCACTTCTGTTCCTGCTGATCCGGTTTTCCCCTCTGTATCACACCCCATAATTCTTCAGAAGTCTTGTCGCTTGTTATGACATCTCTTGTGTATTCATGTACTTTTTATGCATTTTAACACCACCACCCCAACCTCAGTTGCTTATTTAGAGTATCAGAAACAGCTGTTGATTCTTTTTAGGGTCTTCTATGTGCCTAAAAGGGGGGCCGTAGAAACAATAAGCTTTTTACTAGGAGTTACTCAAAAAGGCATAGAGTCTTAGAATTTGATATAGCCCTTACTGCAGCCAGTCTCAGTTCTTTATGCTTAGATGTGCCAGCACATATTTCCAGTAAACAGAATAGCAGCTATGCTATTCAAACAGTATAGGGAGAAAAGGTAATCAATCTCTTTGCTATCAGTGTTAGAAAGTTCTCTCTCATGTATAAAATTCTTCTCTCTTACAAATTTATTCCCCTCACTTTGTGCTTATTAAAACCCCTAAATGACATTCATAAAAATAAAGTGAGTGGGTATTAATTTAACTACAAGATGAGCTCATCACAGGTGATTGCCCAGAGACCGTGCTAACACACTTCATTCTAGTAGTGTGAACCCCTGAAGCACAGCTCTGACAAAGTACTCCCAGAACATAAGCAACCCCTGCCCCCTGGGGCAAAGAGCTGGACGGTTGCTGTTAGCTGCTCCTGGAGAGCAGAAGCTGCTGCCAGCAAAGGGAGGGAGCGGCAGTGCAGAGTGCTGGATCCTGGGGAGACCGCAAGGGCAGCCTCTGTTCTGGTGACCCTCGGCGCTCACTCATGTTGTCCTCATTAAGCTCTGGCTTTGTCTTCGCAAACTCTGGTGTCCCCAGCTCAGTCAGGTGGGGATGGGTGCAGTCACTCTGTGCATGTGGTGTCAGCACTTGCTCCTGTAAAGGTTGCACATGTGCTGGGAGATTTAGCAAAGGAAACCCATCTTTGCGGCCTTTCAGTACTTAAAGGGAGCCTGTAAGAAAGATGGGGACAAACTTTTTGGTGGGGCCTTTTGCAACAGGACAGGGGTAATGGTTTTAAACTAAAAAGGGGTCAATTTAGCCTAGATATAAAGAAGTAATTTTTCACAGTAGCAAAAAGCTGAGACAGGTTGCCCAAAGAGATTGTAGATGCCCAATTCTTGGAAACATTCAAGGTCAGGCTGGATGGGGCTCTAAGCAACTTGATCTAGTTGAAGATATCCCTGCTCATTGCAAGGCGATTGGACTATAGGATCTTTAAAAGTCCCTCCCAACCCAAACTATTCTATGATTCTATGATCTTGCCCAAAGTTTACAGGCAGGTCTTGGGAATAGGAACCACCAACATATTGCCTCCATTTTTCTGTGTCTTATCAATGATTATCACTTCATTTAATCCACTTTAAAAAAAAAATGGAGAAAATGTTTTCACCTGCTACACAGATAGGTGAAAGAAATAACAGCATGACTGCCTCTGCTACATATCAAGAGATATACTGAGTTTCAGTTTGTTTTTTTGTTGAAAAACGAAAAACAAAATAAAAAAAGGAAGATAAAAAAAGATAAACGGGTTGTATAGCCCTGCAGTATTTTGTTTTTACCTCTGCACATGTACTGCCATGCTGTATGTCATGCCTATGTGGGTTACTGTGTGATGACAAAAGACAAGGCTGCTCTGTGGTTTCCAAAGCATGATGGGAGCAGTCTGTTTACTACAAAATTGCATCCAAAACCCTAATACCTGTTGCTAGCTCCAGGAAAACTTACTGGTTACAAAGATTAAGGAACTACCTCTGCTACTTGCAACAACTCTCCCTAACTTCTACTATAAATGAAACTCTTGCTTTAAACACTGTAAAGAGAGGAAAAAAACCCCACCTCAAACCTGCCCGTGAAGCTATCTAGAGCAGTGTTTCCTGTCATAGCAAATTAACACTTTTTTTTTAATTAAAAAAAAAAATTTTAAAAATGTATTGCCATTAAGTAATGTAGTGTTACCACAAGTGGGTTAGGAGACACTGACTTGTTAAAGTGTGGTCCTCAGTCCAGAATATCCTGCTTGGTGATCTTTGGTTACCACAGCATTATGAGGAATAAATGTTTTGATCTAACTCTTTTGCTCATTTTCCATGTCTGCCTCAGAATGTTACAGCGAAAGCGAACACGATGATCCAGAAATAACGGACACGCCACCTCCCCCCTACACAGTCCAGCCCTCACCTCCTCCCTTGGTAAGTGTTCCAGTAATTAGCCTGTTTCTTGTTGCAGGTCAGTTGAAACAAAATTCTCTTGAGGTGGTGCACTTTTAAGAATAACCTACAACAGTGTCTGGAAATGTTCATCCTGTGTGCCTGTGAAATGTGGATGCACTCACTGCCCCTGTCCTATGGCAGAGCACACAGTTATCACATCCTGCACTGCAGGGAGTTTCACACTGTAAGAGATCAGCTCCTTCCAATGCAGGCATATTTGTCTTGCTGGAGAAAGGAAGGTGTCTACCTCATACACACACTTTATATTTTCTTCACCAGATTTTCAACACACTGCTATAAGCTACTTTTTCATAATATTCTCTTTTTTTCTTTTAAATCCACCCTGAAATTTCTTTCTTTTTGTGCCCCTGGTAGCATCATCCAACAGCTTTGTATTTATTTATTTGAGTGAGCTCTTTCTAAGACTGCTGAATTTGAAACCGCTTCTGTGGCAGTGAAGAGAAGTGAAGGGAAAAAGGCCTCTTCTAACAGCAATAAAATCTGTTCTTTTCCTCTACCTCTGAAAAATAGACTATGAAAAAAGAAAATAGGCATCCTTCCAAAATCTATGCATTTTTTCTTTCTAAGTGTAGCATATTTGCCCATAATATTCCTTCCTGTCTCACTTAATTTCATAAATTAGAAAAAGCACTATGCAGCCTTGTGTCTAATCAAATTGACTCACCTAATTATTAGCCACATATTGTCCTATTCATCTTGTTTCTGTATCATCGCTTTTCCCAGTGATCTCAGCTCTCTTATATGTGCTTTAAAATGGGAGATTTACTTAATTCTTTGTCTAGAAATCTGGTTTGAGGTGGTAATGCAGCCCAAATAAGGAATCCTGAGTTCAAGCCTTTTCCTTCACTAGCTGAAAGTTAACATCGAGAGGTGCGCAGTAATATACTAAATAATCTCCTTGCATCTCAAGGAAGGGAAGTGTCTACTGCCTCACTGGTATGGTACAGGTTCCTATATGGTACAGAGGCAATGAAGCAGTAGCAAATCTGAAATAGACAGATGAGCTAGAGAAACTTGTGTGATGATAGGCATTAATAAAAGGAGATGTCATACACAGGGCTGCCTGTCTGAAAATCTTTAATTAGCTCACATAAAGCTGGGAATGTATGTCACACTGTCACCCACTTACCCCCCTCTGTTTCAGTCAGATAAATCAGTCTTCACTTCCTCTCTTGAAACAGTTGTGTAATGTTTATCACTGTAAAACAACCTGTCTAGCACTTGTGGGGTGCAGGGTGTTCACAACCGTGTAGAACGTGATTCTTTATGGCCTGTATTAACTAGACGTTAAATGTGGCTGAGTGGCTATAAATATCAGAGAAAATAAGAACTCTGGCATTATGTCTCCAACAGTTATTCTGGGCCAAGGGTCAATAATAAAGCATTTGAATTTTATACCTCAGTGTTTTGCTTTTAAGAGACTGTAGATGTTTTTTCCGTCTGCTCCCCTCTGAGCGAATGCTCGCATTTTTCCAGATGATGAGTTTTAAACAGGTGTTGTTTTTTAGTTTTCCGTTTTTCTGGCTTCCTGCTCCTTGTTGGTCTGTTGCTGAAGGGGTGATCTCTGGTTGTCTCCTTTCCATAAGCTCCTCTTGAGTGCTGGCCTCCACATTTTAGCAGGGGACACGCAAATTGTGCAGGCAATTGTGCAAATGCTGAGGGGTCCTGTTTTCTCAAGCTTTTCCTTAAAGATTATCTTCTCTCAAGCCTTTACCTTTCCCAGCTGATGTCCCTTCTTATCCCCAGCTTAAAATCCCTTTCCCTGTGGACAAAGGTTAGTGTCTCCTGAGCAAAGTTGTCATCTTTTCACCCCAGAACTGGCCACTGGAACAAGCTCCAGTTGCTGTGGGTCTGCCATGTGCTCAGCTTGCTTACAGAGTGAGTAGGAACAGCTGGGTACCAATGCAGTTGTGTTTGACTGCAAGTCAGAATCTTCTTTTGAATGCCCAATTTAATGTCCCTTTCGTTTCTGGACAAATGCTGGAGCAAGGAAACCATTGGGAGGATTGGGAAGGCACAGCTTCTGTGAGGAAGTCAATTCCAGAAGTGGAGCCCATGATTACCTCAGCGAAGGCTGGTTAAATATTGCTTGTTGCATGTTTATTTGTTGCAGAGTTCTTGAACCAAGCTGTGAGGTCCCAAACATGGTAATGTGGTGGATTTGGGTTGATACTCTGTGGGTACAGTACAGTTGTACTCTGTACAACTTTTGGTTGGCCTGGTTTAATCTTCTCAAATTGCAACTGGAAGTGAAACTCAGCCCAGCATCAAGAATGCCAGAGGCATTGACTAAAGTTAATTTATTTTTATTATTATTTTTTTTAATTGCACCTCTTCCTCCTGAATGCAAAGCCATTTTGCAAAATAGGAATTAGGAGGCCTGGACATTTTGGAAAATCAAACAAATGTTGTCTTACACAGAAAGGCCTCAAAACTTCTTGAAATCAACTCCAAACTGAAAATTATTAATCTGGAAACTAATAGACACCCAGGAGGAGGCTCTGTTACATTTTAGAGCAGCAAACATTTTGCTGTACTTCTAGCATACAGTTTATACTGGCTGTTCTATTCTCTGCTGGCTCAAACCATTTTGAAACTTGAAAAAAGTAGTGATCATGAGCTTTCCATGTTCATCCATACTTTTGTGTACTGTGGAAGAAAAAAGCAAGTGAGGAACAAGTAAATTTTAGCATCTGTAGGACAAAAGTTAAACTGACCACCTGCATTACTTTGTCCATGTGTGAATGGATTTACAGTTCAAAAATCAGCAGATATGTTGAGACAATAGATTGCAGCAATCCCCAAAAAGCAGTCGAGTTGTTTAAGTCATAATTTTTCTCTAAAACACGTCTAGAGACTCACTGATCTCCAGTGGAATGCTTATGATCTGCTTTTTAAAATATCCCCAAATGGATATTTATTTTTGTATGGATGATTGCAAAAATTCCAAAGGAACGACTCCAATAAGTTAAGTAAACATTTTTCATGCCAAAGAAAAAAAACAAAACACAACACATACGTAGAGAAAAAGAAACACCTTCTGGCAGTCATTTATTCTCACCCACATTTTTTATTTAACACACAATGAAAATGAAAACAAAAATATATTCCATTCAGTGTAGCACAGTTTTAATTTCAATAGCCTTTTTTTTGCATGGAAAAATGCCAGAAAAATAGAGGTGATATCTAACATCTTCTTTTCCTGGCTTTGAACAGTTGAAATTAGACCATTCACACCATAAAAGCACGAGCCTTTACCGTTCAGTTGATCTACTTGACTTTACAAATACTTCAAAAAATTTGTCTTTGTGCTACGTGCTCTTAGATGAAATGCTTAATGTCACCTGTGTTCCCTGTGGGTGTTTTTAGCACTCACCCGTATAGTTTGTGATGGCTTCTGTCTGTCCTTTGCTTTAGGATGCATATGTTAAGGTTTCCATTTTAAAAACAAAAATGCACCAGAAACACAGTGTTGTACTTCTCATAAGAGGAACATAAATGTCTGAGTCCTGCCATGTTTGGGAAAGTCTTGGAGGAATTGTGAAAGAATTAGAGAACTTAAGACTTCTGCGGAACAGCCGAAGGCTGGGGTTGTTTAGCCTGAAGAAGGCTCAGGGGGAACCTCATCGCTCTCTACAACTACGTGAAAGAAGGTTATACTGAGATGGGGCCCTGTTTCTTCTACGGCACCTGCAGTGAGAGGACTAGATGAAATGGCCTTAAAGTGAGACAGGGGAGAATTCAGATTAAATGCTAGAAAATTTTTTTTCACTGTTAGAGTGGTCAGGCATTGGAATAGGTTGCCCAGGGAGGTGTGGAGTCACAATCCCTGGAAGTGCAAGAGGCACCTGGATCTGGCGCTGGGTTATGTGTGGTTTAGGGATTGCAGTGGTAGTGCTGGGTTGGTAGTTGGACTGGAAGATCTTAAAGGTCTCCTTCAACTTTGACGATTCTATTATACTATGAATGGCCTTGAAAATTTACAAAAGTGAAGAAACTGTTATAAACAAATGGTACCCGCAATCTGATACTGGTCTTCCTCGTCTTCTGAATTGAGCAGTAGTTATATGATACAGCTGTATTAGAAACACAGGAAGGCAAATCTACTTTGTTGTTTTTAATGTAAAAAGGAAGTATACATTACGGTATACAACACTGAATTGCAGAACTTTATATATCATGATCAAAAAAATTGTCACTCTTGGTTTGGTTTATTTGAATAAATCTTAATTTTGGTTTACCAGGTCATAAATAGGTATTCCTGACTGCTCCCTTTATTGTGTTTGCAACTTGTCCAGGTTTCCCTAGCAACACCTTCTCAGTGATTTCCAATACTTTGTCTAGTTATCGTCTGTTTTACTCCTTGCACAGATCTATTCTACATATATATTGAGAACATAAACTTGCCAGAATTGTGGTCTATCAAGTGTGGTATTCTGATACTAGCATTGGCCAGTAGCAGATGACTTGCAGAAGGAGTAAATTTCTGCAGTAGCAAGAAATCTGGCTTTCATATCATGATGATCTCATCACAATTTCTGATAGTTTCTGCTAAGAGCTTCACTATAAGGCTTTGTCTTTCCTCCTCTTCCATTACTTTATTTATCACTGTCAATTGATTCTGTTCTGGATATTTTTGTGTATATTTGTGGGTTTTATATGTATTACTTGTATATTTGACTCTCTTAGCTGGTCTCTTCAGTGGTGTTTGGTGGGGAAGAAGTAGCCTAGTGATAGTTCTTCCTGTGTGAGTTGGTTTTGGTGACCAGACAATAGTACAAATCAATCAATGTAAACTTCTAGTGTAGACAAAAACCTGGGTGCCTAATCACTTGACTGGGAAGCTAAATACTTCTCAAAACTTTGTTCTTTGTCTCAACCTTCCTTTAAATGGAATTTCAACTCCTAACTAACAATGATGACTGTTAGATGTCTCTGAGACCTCTCTGGCTGTATGTGTTTCTGTTAAGGCAGGGTAAGAAGTAGGGGCCTATTGAGTATTGAGGGTCTTAGGATGTCTTAATGATTTCTGATGTGTTTCTTGTGAAGTTTGGATCCTTTTCCACATCATGTGCTGAAGGGTGGATCTTAGCAGGTGAACAAACAAACACAAATCTTGTACAATTCCCCATTTCCTACCCTTTGTCCCATAACTATCTGTTTTTTCTTTCTATCATTAATTTGCCATCATATTACCTATCAACCTTCTTGCCTTGGTGAATGATTATCCCTTGAACGGACCAGGTAAAATACATTTTTACTGTACTTCAGTGTACTTCAGTGCTTGGTACCAATAATCTATGCTTGTTGCATTGGTGGAATTGTTGAATGCTTCAAGAAAACTTCATGTTCAATGCCTAATTTGGAGTTTCACTTCTGCACTCTTGGTTAGACCAGTAAAGTGAACACAAATTAAAGAGTGAAGGTGAGTGTGAGACTAGCATGGAAGGCTACATTCAACACAAGATTTTTCCTTGGTCTTTCATTTCTAGACATTGTCAGGTTTGTATCTCTTTTGCCTCTGACCTTCTTGGGGCTTAGTGGCTGAAGCTACTGCTCTGTAGGAGATTGGCTGCCATAGCTCAGGCTCGCTTGAATGGATAATTAATCAGATTACATCAATTTTTGGTCATTTAGCATTTCAGCTGTATACCTATAACATGTAGAACCTAAGGAAAAGAATGACTTGTAAATAATTTTTCTTTTTTCTTCCCCCTCTGCTTGTTTTTTCTGGAAAGCAGGATCAGCAGAAGTCATCTTTCACCTCAACTCTGTCAAGTGAAGCATCTTGTTCTCTCTCCTCTCCTGAAAGCACTTTCAACTCACAAGAGTCATCATCTTCCTTGGCATCCAAAGTGGTTTATTCTGAAAGGCAGTCCTGGCTTGACCTAGTTAACAGCTCTGCCACAGAAGAGGGTGATCAGCCTTTAACTTTCTGCGTACAGATTCATTCTGATGAGCCACCAGAAGTAGTCTGTGGAGAAGCAGCAGAAAGCCAGGAAGTCCAGCTTTCCCAACCCAACAATGGATCCCAAAACTCTTACTTAAATGCAGATGCATATTGTCTAGCAGTGCCAGATGCAACAGGACAGAGATCACTAGCCAAAGGTGAGCTAATGAGAGATGAGGTTTTTGCTGCAGTCAAACAATATGAGAGTTTGGGGGTTTCCTCAACTTCCTTTTCCCTTCTTTCCTTTATGTTCTTCACTGAAGAGTTTTCCAGTGGCACATCATTTTTAACAAACATTTACTTAGTTGCTCATTAAATATATAACCTAGTATCTAGTTGGTAGGTATTTTTACAACTTTTCTCAAATTTTACCTGTATGTTAGATTATAGCTTCTGTATATAAATCTAACAAAGATATGGTTTTATTAACTGTCTTTATTTCAATGCAGATGTCTTTTATTCATTAGGATTGAATCAAAATGTTAAGAAAGTGTGTCACAGAACAGACACTCTAAGCAAAATGGAGCATGTGGTTAGGTCAATCTAATTTTAAAAATAAAAGCAGTTGTATTTACTTGAAGTACATACTCCCTATTCGTTTCATTAAGCTTCATTGTAATCAAGAGAAAACAACTGCAATCCTGAATCAGAAAGTCCATTAGACTGGATTTTGTCTAAGCAAATAGGTTTCTGCACAGGTATCCTCCTACTGAAATGAAATGAAAAAGTTGGCATAGTTCCAGAATTTTGTCATTGTTACTGTTAATAACTCTCTTGTGTAGCAAGGCAATCTCCTGCCTTTTGAGCAAAGTTTCTTCATTCTGCATTAAAAACAGTTGAAGCCTAAGCAGTGTTAATGGTATACAATTAGTCTGCTTATAGAGGTAACACATAAGGAAGAAACAACGTTCTTGTGCATCATCTCTTCCCATGATTCCAAATCCTTGTAAGGACTTCAGATGAGTAGTTTGTTGCTGAAAGAGCAGGGTTGCCTCAGCATAAAGCAAAACAAAGATGTATCTAAAAACTTAGGCTGAAGGTAATGCAAAGGTGGAAAGAAACAGCACTGGAGTCGTTGGGAACTCAGGGTATTTCTCTGTAGGTGAACATAACACTGTTTGAAAAATGATAGTATAGGCCACATTAGTTGTGTTGTCAGTCTCCCTATTGTCAGTCTCCCTATATCAACAGCTAGAACTCCTTTATTTTGTCATTTGTTTTTCTGATTTTACAAAAAAAAAAAAAGAAATTGAGCAAAGTATAGCTTTTAACAAAAATGAAAATTAACTCAGTGTTTTGTGCTCAGCTTCATTATCTGCCTTCTAGGGTGCTCTGCTAGAAAATTCAGTAGCGGAGAATATCAGCAGGAATTAAAACCCAGAGTGAGCATATGTCCTATTTCTCTGTGGTGGAAAAGAGTACTATGCTTTGGGAGAGTTATTGAGGAATCCAATTCCCCTCTGGCTTTGCAAGTTGTGAAAAGGCTGGGGCTAGCAGAAAAGGGTTCCCTAATGAAAATGTCACAAAGACATAGTAAATACATATTTTTTTTATTTATTTATTTTTTTTAATTTTACCTTCTGGGTTAAATTTGACAAAGTAATGCCTTGGAAAACATTATTAGGGACATTCATGTAGATTGTTGTAATGTAGGTCACATGTGGCATAGTGGCTTTAGATCCTGTCGAGCAAGATTCAGTGGTTGCCCTCCAGAAATCTAAACTTTTGTTTAGAATATGCTACTCTGGTATTGTCAGCAATCCTACAACAATGTGTAGGTTAATTTTTTCCATCATAACTGTAAGGGTAATTTTTTCCAGGTAATTGTGAGGTACTTTTATGGATGGTCATAGAATTAGTATGGCACATTCATAATAATTTGAAGTATAGTTTAATAGGCTTAATGATTCTACCCAATAAAAATGGGATTAAATGTAAATCAGGGTACATTCTGAGATTTTTCCTGGGGAAATGAATTCTTCTGTTGCTCACTGCTTAGCTGATGGGCAACCCTGATGGCAGAACACAGAACTATCCTAACCAGACTGGTGATTGCTGGCAGAATTCCAGAAATAGATAATTTCACTGAGACAGTCACTATGGAAACTGAATAATCTCACTAGTTATTGTCTGCATCATAACCCATTGTTGAGCAAGTAAGATGTACACCATACACAGGTTTTTATTTCCTTTATCAGTCTGCATATTATGGGGAGGGTATGGAGGCTGTTGGTGGGTGGAGCCCTCCCCTGCAATGGCCACTGAAAAAATTTAGGAAAGAATTTGCAAGGAGGTTAAGCTACTTCTCTTTGAGAATGAGGTAGAATAAAAAGGATTAATGTAAAATAGCAATTCAGTTCCAAATGATAGTTATCAAAAATGATACAATTCTGGTTCTAAGGCTTACCCCCCAAACTCCAGCTAGTTGATAAGGATGTGCACAAATACTGTGAGATGAATTCAAGTTGTGGTGTAAAATGTAGCTGCAAAATCTCATGATTTACAAAAACTGGTGAGAACACCCTTGTTATCTGTTGTGAAACAAGAAGACATACCTCAGTGCAGTCCATACCATTTGCTTTACAGAGCGTCTGAATAGTGCATTTCTGACATGTTTCAGAATAATGAGACAGCATTCAGGAGGAGACAAGTCTGTTTTCTGGCAGCATTTGTCCAGAAATTACTGGTTCCTTGTGTGTAAAGATGGCCCTGCTGTCATTAAAACAGCTGTGTGGTCCTTAATCCCACTCCCCACAGAACCTAGAGGTGTGTCCATACTCTCTCCTTCTCCTTGTGAAGATTAAAATAATCTGTCACACACTCTGCTTTCTGGCCACATTCTACATGGTAAAACACCATGAGGAGTTTTTGGTTGTAGCTGATGAGAACTTAGAGCTGAGGGGCAAGTTTTCAAGAACTGAAGAGCACTTTTATTGGCCAAAGTCAGAAAAGGAGTCCAACGTAAGAAAAATTGGTACCTAGAAGGAAGAAAGAGTAGCCATGGTTTTATGGGTAGAGCTTACCATGAAAAAGTACAAAAATGGTGAAGAAACTTTAGTGATGAGTTACACAATGAAAAGGTTTTCAGAGATAGATAGATGAAACTCTGTAAGAGAAGCCTCAGATTCAACTAAATGATAATGGATTATTTTTTCAACGAAAATGATCTTATGAACTCTGCTAAGCAACTGTGGGAGTCTGGTGCAAGGAGCTGTAACATATGATATTTTTAACAAACTTTCCAGCCACTCTCAGTGGTGTTATGAACATTCTCAGGCTTAACTCTCAGCATCAATTGCTGGGGAGACTTTTCATACTAGAGAGTAATATACAGGTACAAAGAAGGGGAGTTGATAGGTTTTCTCTTTTGAAAGGTGATCAGCATTATGGTTCTACTTACTTTTTGGGAATATTTAATATTTTGGTGTTGAGGCTTGCTACATGCGCAATGACAAAGGATTCTAAGCTGCCGATGACACAAAGAAACTGAAAGATAAACAAGAAAGAGCTGAGAATACAAACAACTATCTGACTGCGTATGGGCTCTGTATCCAAAAGCTGGCCTTGCTCCCTCTGGGATTGCTAGGCTATCCTTTGTATTTCTTCTGGCAGTCACCAGAACGAAAAGAGCTGCCACCATTATCATCAAAAAATGTGATAATGAAAGGAAGCCACAGGAACCAGAAGGTTACTGTAAGATAATAGGAAGGTTGGTTTGTATTTATTCAGGATTCTACTACTATAACAATAAGAACTCTTCTTCCTTGCATTTTGTGTGGGTTTTATGATCATATCGAGTTTATACATCTTGGTAAGGAATTCTTATTTTACCACTTCTGGTTTATTTTACCTTAGCTCACAGCAGCTGATAGAAGATCTAGTGTGTGCCAATATTTTCAGAAACCTGGACAACTTTACAAATACCACTTGAATTTTGTCTGGACTGGTTTTGTGGGAAGGAGTGGGTTAAATAGGAGCTGGATGCATTCAATTCCTTCTGTTCTCAGAACTGACATCCTCTTTCCCTCTGGAGTCTGCCTGTGCCAATAATAGCCAGAACAGACCCTCTGGTGCGCTCTAGCCCTTTTTTTCCTTCTGCAAAAGTTAGAGAAAATGGCTAGATCGTGGCTGAGACTAGTCAAGTGATATGCCTATGGTGAGAACAACTGAGTAGAGAAACAATTGTGTTTGAATAATTATTTTGTTTCTCATCAAAAAAGGTTTAGAAATAACAGTGAAAACTGTTGTGCTATAGTTTTCTGAACTCTCTGAAAAAGAGATACTTATTTGTTTTGTTTCTAGTTCAGTCCATTTATTAAAATTCTATACCTAACTTCTGAGTCCACTATACTGTTATAGACAAGAGCAGCTAACTGTTGGTGGTAACGTACTTTTCCTGTTATTTTCTTCCAATCTCTCCTATCTTTAGTTTTGCATTTGCCAGTGAGGAGTTTGCCTAATCTATGCTCACCTAATTAAAATTTTTCCTGTATTTTGTGTTTCATAGTTATGTGGGAAATGTGATTTCCCTGAGGTGACATCATATTCCTATTCAAAAGTGGGTGGGTGGGTAGGTAGGTAAGAGCAAAAGAGGTTTATGATTTTTTTCCTCTGCTCTCCTCAGCTGAGTTGTGTGTTGTTCCATTGGCATAAAAAAATTTGACAGAATCAGAAACAGAGGTGCTGGTAGAGCTACAAGAAGCTTGTAAGAGTAGCAAGGACAGGAGGAAAAAGCAGATTTTTTTATTCCCCTGGGATTAATACACAACTGGGGATCTGTGAGATCTCAGTTACAGAATAGGAGAAAAAATATTTACATTTCAGCCTGGATTTAGTAAGATATGTTCCTTTGGAGGTGGTTTTCAATGAAAAATGCTCTTTCTGCCAAACATTTCCAATTTCTGTATCTTTACCACTGGGAAACAGTAAGCTTTATATTTCACAGCTGCTTTTCGAAAAGTTCTGGATAGTTTCACTTCTGTAGGTTTAAAGAGCATTAAAGTTGATATTTCAGACAGGCTTCTGTATTGCTGCTCCAAGGTGGGGAGTCTTAATACCTTAACGTCTCCAACCTGTAGCAAGTTGGCCAACAGGAGGATGGAAGCTGAAAATTGAGGAGCTGAAGAGCAGGCATGCTGAACCTCTGGCAGCTTGTTCTTGTCTGTGATATCTCCTGTTATTTAGACGGAAATTCCAGACAAGTGGCATCAAGCCACAAAATTATGTTTTACTTCCCCTGAAACGGAATTTGTCAGGAGTTGTGCCTTGCCTGAAATGCTACTACTACCCCAACACAGAAGGTCTCTTTCTCTTGAATGTGAAACTATTTCAGTGCAGAATTTCCCTTTTACTCAGGTCAGGACCGGTTACAGAATCGCAGAATCAACCAGGTTGGAAAAGACCTCTGAGATCATCGAGTCCAACCTACACCTAACACCACCTTGTCAACTAGACCATGACACTAGGTGCCACATCCAGTCTTTGCTTAAACACCTCTAGGGACGGTGACTTCACCACCTCCCTGAGCAGCCCATTCCAATGCCCAATCACTCTTTCTGAGTAGAACTTCTTCCTAATGTCCAACCTAAAACTCCCCTGGTGCAGCTTAAGACTATGTCCTCTTATCCTATCACTGGTTGCCTGGGAGAAGAGGCTGACCCCCACCTGGCTACAGCCTCCTTTCTGGTAGCTGTAGGGAGTGATAAGGGCTCCCTTGGGCCTCCTCCAGGCCAAACAATGCCAGCTCCCTTAGTCAATCCTCATAGGAGTTGTGCTCCAGACCCTTCACCAGCCTCGTTGCCCTTCTCTGGACATGCTTCAGCACGTCAGCATACCTTCTAAACTGAGGGGCCCAAAACTGGACACAGCACTCGAGGCGCAGCCTCACCAGTGCTGAGTTCAAGGGAAGAATCACTTTCCTGGTCCTCCTGGCCATACTATTCCTGATACAAACCAGGATGCCACTGGCCTTCTTGGCCACACTGCTGGCTCATGTTCAGCTTCCTGTCAATCCAAACTCCCAGGTCCCTTTCTACCTGGCTGCTCTCCAGCCACTCTGTCCCCAGCCTGTAGCACTGCATGGGGTTGTTGTGGCCAAAGTGCAGGACGCGGCACTTGGCCTTGTTGAACCTCATCCCGTTGGATTCGGCCCATCTATCCAGCCTGTCCAGGTCCCTCAGCAGAGCGCTCCTGCCTTCCAGCAGATCAACACTTCCCCTGAATTTACTAAGTCCACCCGTTTACTAAGGGTGGACTTGATCCCTTCATCCAGATCATCAGTAAAGATATTACACAGGACTAGGCCCAACACTGATCCCTGGGAGACAGCACTAGTGACCGGCTGCCAACTGGATGCAGCACCGTTCACCACCACTCTCTGGGCCCAGCCATCCAGCCAGTTCTTAACCAGTAGATAATGCCCTTGTCCAAGCCATGAGCTGCCAGCTTTTCCAGGAGTGTGCTATGGGAGATGATATCAAAGGCTTTGCTGAAGTTCAGGCAAACTACATCCACAACCTTCCCCTCATCCAGCAAGGGGGTCCTCTGGTCGTAGAAGGTGATCAGGTTGGTCAGGCAGGACCTGCCCCTCCTAAATCCATGCTGGCTGGGTCTGATCCCCTGGCTGTCCTGTGGGTACTGTGTGATCACACTCAAGATGATCTGCTCCATAACCTTTCCAGGCACTGAGGTCAGGTCTGTAGTTTTCCAGTCTGGCCTCAACTTATAGACATTTATTGGCAGACATACTCTGTCAACAGCAACAGTATCTGCTTCTATGCAAAAGCACAATATTAAAGTATTCATTTGTTGCTTTTTAACTGTGGTTGAAGTTCATCAAAGATGGAGACAAAAGTACTGTATAACTCATACTTGGCTCTGCACACCCTCTAGGTTTCACTCACCCTCATTGTGCAACAGTTTGCTGAAATTCCGTGTAGTTTCTTTACTGTCACTTCCTTTTATCCACCTGATCTGAAGAATCTGGTACATTCCTTTCCTTCTGAAATTATATGATTCTAATTAATCCTTTGGGGGATGAGAATGGTGGAAGAATAAGAAATAAGAGAGGAGTTTAAGTTCAAAGTGTTGAAAGACTGCAGGAGATGAGTGCACATTGCTGGTCAAGTGCATCATCTGGGAGCCTTTTGCTGGGCTTTTCTGATTTTGGCTCCATTTTTTTTTTCTGTGCTTAGTGTTGCTGTCCTCCTTACAGTCACCCACAAGTGTATAAAGATATCAGAGTACTTAGCATGGCAGAAGAGTGCTCACTGAGGGTGTTTTCTCATGCTTGCTGCTTTGTAACCCTTTTAGGACACTGAGGAATGTTGTGAGTTAACCTCAAAAAGTATCTGGAGAAGGAACCTTATGTCCCCCATGGATTGACTATATTTAGAAGTTGCTGGACAGGATTGAAGCAATTTTTTTTTCCTCTTATACACTTTTTCTTGGATAGCTGATAAAGGTCAATTTGTCTCTCAAAATGTTAGTGTGTGCAGTCCTGATGGGTGATGTCTACAGTAGAGTTCAGCCAGTCCTGTTCAGGAGCTGGCTAAGGAAACAAACAGCTTCTTCATCTCAAGAAAGTAGGCAGGAAACTAGTTATAATTATGAGCCTCATGGTATGAGCCGACTGTTTTCAGGAAATACTACTGCTGTGTATTATGCCTTACACTTCCATTTTTTTTTTGTTTCCTGCAGCTTGTTAAATATACAACAGTTCTCCTTTTCCTCCCTCAGCAATGTAATAGTGTTGGAAGTTATATTTAGTTCTTGTCAAGTTACAGTAGGCTTTTTATAACCACACAGTAGCGAAGAATAGGCCAGCAACACAGTGAAGGCAAATATTTGTAGCCTATCATAAACCTTTTTTGTAACCTAAATGTTTAGAAAGAATAGGGGTGTAGAAGGATGATGTACTTTATAAAACATGGAAAAGATAAGAAGCAGCCTCCTAAGTGTGCTGATGTGTTAGAGAAGTCGTCTTGGCTGCAGCATGAGTGAGCAAAAAGACTTCTTCCTTTTGTTCAGAAAACATTTGCTGACTGAAGATGATTTAGAAAAGTAAATGTTTAACATTTCGTTAAAAGAAAAAAGTGCCCAGCCAGTTCAATGGGCATGTGGAGAAGTGCAGTTGGGAAGAACTAGCACTACTACCCTCAGTGAAATAAAAACGAATGTTATTCCAGTGGATTTCGATGGATTCATTAGCACCCTGAAAACAGCGATAACTTTAAGATTTCCTTTAGCAATCACTGAAGTAGAAAAGCTTGCAGTGTGGACTGAAGGACAAGAAGTGAGTTGCGCAGTCTGTTGCTGAAAATGGCCTTCTACTAAAATGCCCCTACATGTGCCTGGTACATTTTTGGCCTCTGTTCATTTTTAAGTTGTCTTATTCTGAGAAATGTCTTTACTTCAATTTCATCTTATTTTATGCTTATTTTATTCTCAGCTCTTTACTTGCTTTTCCTTTCATGTCCTCACTGTCATGGAAGATGGTCCTGCAGCTTGGGAGCCATCAGAATAATTGAGGTGGAGATAATCAAGGTTTTGTTGTGAGGCACTACAAGCAAATTCTCTGCTGCAATCTGTGAAACTCAGGGGCTAGGCATTAAATGCCTTAAGCATTCTTGCTTTAATCTGTTTCCTAAGGACCTTCTCTTGGGGCCCCTGAAATGTTCCTATGTTTCATTTAATCGCTCAATTTTTTTTAAACTCTGTTTTCAGTAATTACCAAAACCTGGCGATGAATTGTCACACCAAATAGAATTTGGCTTGTGAGTCACTAGGCAGAAATGTGATGCACTGTCTGTAACATGTAGGGAGGGGCAAATGGGTGTACATGCTATCAAAATTGGTTTCATTCAAACGCAGAATTACTGGCAGTTGTACAAAGTCTGTGATATATTCAGAGCATTAAAGCAGCGCTCTATTAGTGGAGATACAGGCTCATATCTGTTTGGATCATTACCTGATTCTTAAAAACATTTGAGTTTGGAAGTATATCTTTCTGATATGCATTATTACCCTAGAAATTACCCTAAAATTGCCCTTGGTTTTAACTCTGGTACCATTACTTTCTGACTTGGCTAGGAGCCTTCCTGGTGGCTGAATACAACATTTCTGCTATCTGCTGCTGCACTCATGTTCTCATACCCAATTTATTATTTTCTTTTCAGACCAGGAAAAATATGATGATGATGAGATGGAGAGACTTTACAAGTCATTAGAGCAAGCAAGCCTGTCTCCCATTGGTGATCGTCGTCTGTCAACAAAGAAGGAACTTAGGAAGTCATTTATCAAACGCAGCAAAAACCCCTCCATTAATGAGAAACTCCACAAAATTCGAATGCTGAACAGCACATTAAAGGTGAGTTTGCAGAGCTGGTCAAGGAAAAGCTTAAGAGAAAGAAACAGTTTGGCTGAAAAAAGAAGCTGCATAGACTTCAGCCAAACTCTAATTACATATTTACTGAAAGCCCCAGAGAATTTGGGTTTTGATTTTTTTTTTCTGCTTCATTTTGATTACTGATCTGTGTTTTGTTGTTCAATTTGAACTGGAAGCAGAGGCAATAGTTCAGAAGGGACTCTTCTTGCAGAATTTCCAGCCTATTTGGAAAATTTAATAGAGAAAGCTTCTCTTAGCTAGCTGGAAAACTTGCAAGCTCAGCTGAACACACTAAACAGGGGAGCCTTAAAAAAGGAAAAGCAGACAAAGTATGTTGATGATAAAAGACATGAAATTGACCCTGAGCCAAAAAAAGTTTTCCTTATGTGATTATTAGAGAATGTACAGGATGTGCCAAAGTTATTGTAAAGGACCTCCTGTAACTAAAATATTTTTCATAACAAAAGCATCCTGCTTTTAATTTGGAAATATATTTCAAACTGGAGGGGTGTAGGGGTTCAGGAGACGTTCCATAAAAGGGCTAGTAAATCTGTCTGGAATATGGGGATTTATGATGCTGTTTACTCGCCAGCATCAAGCGTCACGGGATTTCAAAGCCTGCTTCTGAATGGTACTGAGGGAAACAGAAATCTTAACCATAGCATTTATATGGTAAGGAGAGGAAAGAATGAATGCAAACCCAATGCTTTACTTGTTTCTTTTTGTATGCATTAGAAGCAGGAATTGAGTATCGTGTTTCACATGCATGTATTTGACTTCAAGCATTGTAAGCTGGAGAAATGCACATAAAATGGTTGGTCTTGATGATCTTAGAGGTCTTTTCCAACCTTAATGGTCCTATGATTCTGTGATTCTAAAAACTTATCCTAGCAGCACAATCATTGATTTCACTAGTACTTGCAATGGGAGGCTTGGCTTTGGCACCTCTGCTTGTGTTGAAATTTCTGAAAGACACAATTGAAAAGGCAATTGGGAATTTAGGCATTGTCCCTGGTTCCATATGAGACCTGATGAAGTCTCTCCTCAGTATCAGAGAGTCTTCAGTGGTATGACAGTGACTATGGCAGTATTCATTTGCATCAGAAATGAAGTGAGCCCATCACATAACAGACAGTTAAAAAATATGCCTATTTTATATTATAGGAAGCTAAATACAGAAACATTCTGCAAAATTTTCCCTGATGGGAGCTTCACTAATAAATCTAAGAACCAGTTAGTAAAAAATGGAGTTGTATTTTGTGAGACAATCACTTTCATCAGCATGGAGTTAAATGGAAGCCTTACTGCCAGACATGAGCAAGGAGGACAACCGTGCATTGATTTAGCATGGGAGTATGTATAAGTTGTGATTAATAGTGCTTATAAAGTGAGTCTTGTCTAACACTTGTGTTTAATATGGAAAAATCCTTTTTGAAGTGGTCATAATCTATAAAATGTGTTGATTTTTTTTTTTGCTTTCTTCAAACTAAGAAACTGGAGTATTGACCAGAAAAATGTAGCATAGACATGAACAGAGTTCTGTACACAGCAGTGTGTAAGTTAGCCTGTCTGAAAGGCAAATGCCTGCTGTGGGAAAGTGCCATATTCTTTTCATCAGTGGAATTATGTACTTTTAAAGTCTATTTTCTTAACATATAGTAGAGACATAAGATAATTGGAAATGATCTACTGGAAATTTAAAATCAGGATTTTTTTTTTACTTCTGTTCCATATGTACTCTGCTTAAATTAAAACCCTATTAGTTTGAAAAGTGACTTACGCAAGTTTCACTGCAATTTTAATTTTTGACCTTTGACTCCACATCTTTAACAACAGATTAATGTTGCTGCCACAATATATCATTAACAAAACATGCTTTGGATACTTTGGAAGAGAGGGAAGCTATGTGCAAATGCATCACATTCATAGTGAATGTGGGAAATAGATTTAGTGCTACAGGAAAAATTCCATGGTATGACTTATTACCACCAAGTTTGTCCAGTGGAAATACTCTTCTCTCCCTTCTCCTTCCTTATCTCCACTCTTCTTCTCTTAGGCTAACTGTGCATTCCTCTGCATCAATGCCAGCAGTCCTCTTACAAGGGCTGGCACTGAACAGCTGAATAAGCTTTTGTGTTTAAAAAGCAGCTAAGCCATCACAGAGATTAAAGCAGTTGAAAGTTCATGACAGCAATAGTGCAATATGGATGTATAAACAGCTGATTTCTACTACCAGGAAGTGAAATAAATGTGGGAGTATTTTCAGGTTGTTTTCAAGGCAGCCACCAGCACAGAGTGTCCTCAGGTGTGATGAACTGGTGGCAGCAGAAGATGGTTAGAACTATTCCATTGCTTTCACACACAGACTGGAGGGATGGAGCCAGGAAAAAGCAGTTAAGGTTTGTTATTGCAGCATGGTGCCTTCATGAAGAAATTATAGCTGCTAACTAGGGTTTCTCTATCCTGTGGGCTTCTCTGTCCCCCATGGACAGGCCAAAAGGGCTGGAAAAGCAAAGTGGTTCATAATGTCACAGCATGTGATGACACCAATGAACATCAATATGTGAAGAGGGGGTGAAATGAAGACATAGCCAGGCTATTTTCAGTGGTGCCCAGTGACAGTACCAGAAATGATGGGTTCAAACTGAAGCACAGGAGGTTTCCTCTGGGTATCAAGAAACCCCTTTTTCTGTGAGGTTGACCAAGCACTGACACAGGCTGTCCAGAGAGGCTGTTGAGTCTCCATCTTTGGATGTATTCAAAAGTCATCTGGACATGGTCCTAGGCAGCCTGCTGGAGGTGGTGCTGCTTGAGGAAGTGGGTTAGACAAAATGAGTTCCAGAGGTTCATTCCAAGCTCAACCATTTTGTAATTCTGTGACATACAGTGTCTCAGTATCCCTATATCAGTGACTGCTTATGTCTTGCAAGAGAACCAGGGTGCCTGCAATATATGGTCTGAGCTGTTCTTGCCTAAAAATACACACCAGATTTATTAGTGGTGGTAGATTTATTAGCTGGTGGGAAATGGCAGCCACATGTGCTCTAGCCACTCTACTGCCAGTGCACAAATCATATCCAAAATTATATTCAGTCTAGCTCCCAGAGAAGAGACATTTATAATGTGGCTATGGAGTAAGTATTTTTTGAGAAAGTGAGAATTGGTGTGACTTATAGAAATAAATGTTGTCGTGTCTAGTTTTAGCGAGTACTAACTTGTGAGACAGCATAACAATGTGTAATTTTCACATGAATCTTCCCTCGTGAAGTTTTGCTAAGAATCCTATAAAAAAAATCTAGATGAAATCATAACTTGCTTTCAACTGGGATGGATTTTTTCCAGCAGACTTAACTTTGATGAACCATGCTCTTAAAAATGAGAATAAGCTTCCAGGAGGATGGATAATTTGCCATCTCTTTGTGACATGGTTCTTTAATGTTCCCAGACTGTTTTTGTTATGGACAATGAGCTTGACAGTTTCTGTGGGAAATAACCACTTGTTTTCTTCCTAGTGTAAGGAACATGACTTGGCCACAATTAACCAGTTGCTAGAGGACCCGAAGTTGACAGCACTGAAGTTCAGAGAATGGAGGAGCACGAACATCATGTTGGTCCAAGATATTTATCAGCAACAGGAGATCCTGAATGTGTCCACAGAGAATGGTGAGGAGCAAGAGATGACTCCACAGCTAATCACTGAAAGTGCAATATGATCAATGGTTCATGGCAAAATTTTTCTCCACGGGTCTTCATGTACAGGGACTTTAATCTGCTGTATCTTAAGGTTTGATTTTTGCAAGTGTTCTTCAGAAGAAAAACAACCCCTTCTCCAAACTTTCGATTTCTCTTGCAAAACTCATTTCATTCCAAAAGAGCAAATGCCCCAAGTTAAAAATGCATGCCTGAATCATCTGGGCTGCATATCTAAGAAGACTAATGAAGCAGTGAAGAAATGTTTTTCAGTCTTTGGAGAAGAAAATTATGGATGTCCAGTTCCTGGAAATCACAGAACTGTGTAATATGTCCCATATAAATGTGAGATCTTTGGGATTGCTTTAACCATATGACTTACCTTTAAATGAAGCTAAACCAATACCAACAGGATGTAGTCTGCTCTGCCTTTTTACCCTCTAAGGTGACTTGATATATGCATTTTCGTATCTTCATTCATTCACTTTCATCACTGTACCAGTTTAAACTGAGACAAATAGAATAGTAATTATGTATGAGTTTATACAACAGACAGCCACTGGGCACCCAGTTTGGGCCCTGCCTGATGTTCTTTGAGTTTCAAATTTATTTATGGTCCAGGCCAAGGCATTGTCTTTCTACATGAAGAAAAGGTCTCTTAATTTTTGCTAACAGGTAATTTACTCTTCAGTGAGACAAGTTTCAACTTTTCTTATGAACTTACCAGAATTCCTTGGAAGATTCTTTTCCTCTTTCTTATTTTTGACAATTGGGAATATATAAGGTACAAGTTTATTCCAGAGTCTTACTTGGGAAGGTGATCAAGTTCACAAGGCAGAAGCTAAATAACTAAATTCCTAATGTGGACCTGAATGTATAAAACAAAGCTGCAAATATTTTTGTAAATATATGTAATTTTATGGCTTATGTGAATGTGACTGTACTATATATATGTTTTATTTATATATTTATAATACTTAATTTCCTAATATAAATAGGCATGCATGGACCAAACCCACCCACATGCAAGTGTGTATAGGTTGACTTCAAATGCCTCTTTGTTTTTTGTTACATTATAAATCACAGTAATGGCTCTACAACTGAGACTACCTTGAGACATCTGATTTAACTTTTTCTTCTGATTTTCTGACTTTGAGTTTTAGATGAAGAAAATATGTGCAACTTATGGCCAGAAAAGAAGTTTTCTAGAAAGTTTCAGGATATCTCTTTGGGGAAACAAAAATTAGAGGTTTTGCTGCAGGATCACATTTTTTTGGCTTCATTGTCCTCAGTATAAGGTTTAGGTTTTTATTCTTCCCACCTTCTGCAGGTGTACAAGTATGAGGAATTTTGCAGAGTGCTGAATTTTGAAAAGCTAGAATTAGCCCATGTAGTGGGTTTCTGTGGCTGGATTTTGGTAGCTGGGGAGAGGAGGGGGGGTGCTACAGGGATGGCTTCTGCTAGAAGCTGCCAGAAGCTTCCCCTATCTGGCAGAGCCAATGTCAGCCAGCTCGAGGACAGGTTTCCTGCTGCTGGCCAAGGCCAAGCCAATCAGGAGTAAAAGTAATGCCTCTGTGATAACATATTTAAGAACAGAAATGTAATGAGCAGAAAGAGTTCCAGCCAGGAAAAGGAGAGTGAGAACATGGGAACACCAAGGTAGACACCGAGGTCAGTGCAGAACAAGGAGTAGGAGGTTCTCCAAGTGCTGGAGCTGTGGCCCCTGCAGCCTGTGGTGCAGACCTTGGTGGAGCAGCTGTACCCCTGCAGCCCATGGAGGACCATCAGGATGCAGAGACCCACCTGCAGCCCATGGAGGAGCCCATGCTGGAGCAGGCGGATGCATGAAGGAGTCTGTGACCCCATGGAAGGCCCAGGATGGAGCAGGGTCCTGCAGGAGACCTGTGGCCCGTGGAGAGGGAAGCCCACACTGGAGCAGGTTTTTCCCGGATAGGACTTATGGCCCCTATGGGGGACCCACGCTGGTACAGCTCAATCATGAAGGACTGCACCCCATGAAGGAGTGACCCACGGGACAGCAGTTTGGGAAGAACTGTTGGCTGTGGGATGGACTCACGCTGGAGAGGTCCATCAAGAACTGTCTCTCGTGAGAGGGACCCCATGGGAGCAGGGGAAGGACTCCTCTCTCTGAGCAGTGGCAGAAACAACAACTGACTGCAATCCCCATTCCCCATCCCCCTGCACCACTGGGAGGGGAGGAGGGAGAATATGGAAGGAAGAGGGATGGGGGGAAGGAGCTTTTAAGATTGTTTTATTTCTCACTCTTTGGCTCTTATCCTGTTAGTAATAAATTTAAGTACTATTCCCATTTTAAGTCTGTTTTGCCCATGAAGGTAATCAGTAACTGACCTCTCTCAGCTGTTATCTCAACTCATGAATCCTTAGCTGTTTTTTTTCTCTCTCCTCTGTCCAGTTGCAGAGAGAGAGTGGCTTTAGTGGGTACTTGGCATCTGGCCAGGGTCAACCCGCTATAGCCCACCATTCTCAAATGCCACTACAGGAACTGTGACAATCTTCTGTTGGCTATTTTATAAAGATATTCTTTGTCATTAGCTTTCAACACAATTTATCTTTTAAAGCAAAGTACACTATAGAGATGCAGCCATTGTCACCTGTCTTTATACATTATATGTTTTATCACAGTTTGACTGAGAAAACAAAAATTAATAGTGCTAGTGAGAACATGTGAAATCTTTTCCATCTGTGTAGTGATTAGTTCAATTGTTGATACTGCATTTTTAATACTCACTAGCTTTTCTATTAAAATAGAGACATGGAATTATGTCTCAGTGCATAAAAAAATGGCAGCTAAGGCTATGCTGAGTGTGAAAACGGAGGAGCAGACTGCAAACTATAAGAAAGGGGAAACTGAGGGAAGGTTGTAGACTCCTTTGATATTGGTTTTAGTGGAAGAGGATCAGGGAAATGGGTTGAATGTGGAAGCAGGCCTGTGCTTGGTATAGCATCCCTGCCTCAGGTATAAAGGGGTTTTGGAGTTTGAGGGTAAGGACTGATATTGGGTTAGGACATAATAATTGGGATTGGTCTGCTAGTGGGGAACAAATGTTAGCTGAGACCTGGAAGTAGGTGACAATTACTAAAATGGGAAGAAGATACAAAACCCTGTATGGTTAAAAAACTATTGTTTTCAGGAAATCGTCATACGAGTGGTGATTTCCTCACTTCACTAATTCTAACTAGAAGTTGACAGACATTAAGCAAGCTTAATACCTAGTGCAATTTGGTTTAGAGTAATTGCATCTTAAATACTGTGCCCATTTTAAAGTTGGGGTTTTTTTCGTTGATTTTTGTTTGTTTGTTTGTTTTAATCTTTCACCATTCATATTGACATGATGTCAATTAACTGCTGAGAGCACACTGAAAATTAGGGGTGTAGGGATTCATCTGCTTGGTCCATCTCACTTGTAACTACCTGGTACTGAGTAATTGATAAATATTGGAGGTCAAATTACATGTACATTTTCTATCATGCGTGCAAGTTTCTCATGAAACAAAGTATGTAAACACCAGTTTTCTCCAAAGCATCTTCACTTAGGTCTAGAAAACAAGCACATGCTTAAGTGGCTTGTTAAGCTGGGCCAGACAAGTCAGTGCCTTGCAGTTCTGAGCAAAATCCTAGTCAACTCGATTTGCTGAAGTAGATTTGCAGTATACAAAGGAAAAACACTCTGTGGCTTTTCACACTGTGCTTGTATAAGCATATACAAAACAGCTTTCCAAATACAGAGATAGACAAATGTCCTTGGACTGCCCAAACTATACTATTGGTTCTGACAGATCACGTAGCCTAAAATAGCTTTTAAATTACTGTCTTTCAGATGGTCAGTAGATACTTATTGTTGAACTATCAAGGTTGTGGAGAACTGCTGAGAATGTGCTGTATCTCCCTCTTAGAAAAGAACAGAAAAGTCTTGAATGGGCTTTAATCCAGTTATTATTTTTAACAAATTCCTGTGTTCAAGAAAAAAAATGTATGAGTTTTATGCAAGTACAGTGCTGGAAGCTTAACTCCATTCTCTCCAACTACTATTTAGACCCCAAACAAATGGAAAGCATGGAAAACGTGAAGTGAAAATTGCAGTAAAACAGGACTAATTTTCTAGCATTGCTAATTATTATGACAGTTTTCACCTATTGTTGGGTTCATCAAAAGGGGCTGCACAGCAGCGTGAAAGACACAATAGAAGCGTGCACAGGCTGACAGCTACAGCCAGTGGAAGCAGCGGGGCCCCACCTCAGCAAGAGAAATGTGGACTACTCCGTGCTCTGCTCAGTGATGCTTGGAGTAATTGGTATTTGTCAGGTTGGATTTGGAAGACCTGCACTATTGACTCATAGTGTAGGGAGCTGTGCATCCCTAGTGTGTGAATGTCCAGAATTCTTTAACCATCTGCCTCACAGGACTTGTTTTTTGTACTTTTCCGGGAGAAAGTATGTGTGTGTGGATGTGTACACATGCACAATCATTTCTCTGTCAGTAAAGCCTTTTGGTATTGGTGCATTAAGTCCAGCAATGCAAAGTTTTGAACATCTAATTGCAACTGTTTCTGCAGCCTATCTCTGGTAGCTTTTTCGGAAATTGAATCTCTCTCTTTTGGTGGTGTAGATCTCAGGAGCTACCAGAATGAAGTGGGATCATATTTCCTTTCCTTTTCTCTTATGATGGAAGAGATTTCATGTAGGAATTATGAATCATTTCTGCATCTACTTCTGATGATTTAATCAATACTGGGGTTTTACCTGGAACAGGAATAAATAGGAATAAATAATATGCTACTTTTCTTTTTTTTTGCAAATAATCTTAATTTTGGAGGAAACCCTTGAATGGAGAGAAAAGGCTGTTTTGAGACAGCAAAAGAGGGAGGAGAAGAAAAAGTGTGGTATTTGATTTAAAACTCTCTAGATATTCAGCATTTAAAATTATTTCTAACTTGGAAAAACTATAGGTATGCTGAGCCTATTGTGTCAACCTGTAAGCTTACAGGTCTATTATAGATTTAATATGAAAATTAGGGTTTTTTTAACTCTTCAAGTAGCAAAGGAGTCCATGTAAGCATAATTCTATGTGAGGAACTCCTTGTTTTGTGGTTGGGGTTTGGGCTTTTTTTTGGTCTTTTGCTTGTTCAATCATACAAAAGTAACCAACTGTAACGAGGGCCTGGGCTTACTTCATTTATATGAAACATGTCTTTCTGTTAACAGGAAGCCAGAGTGGTTTTCTTACAGTAGTAGAGCCAAAGTGGAATTTCCTGTTTTGTGTGTGGCATTTCAAAGCAGCAGACATTTTAAGATGTTAGTGAGCATTTCCTTGACACTTGAAGATTTATACCATTTTGTTTTGCTTCAAGCTGCAGTACTCTTGCATTTTTAAAAAACTGGCTTCATTATGAACTGAAACAAAAATTGATGTGAAAAAAGGAAAAGTAGAATAGAAAAGCTCTGAGCTAAGATCAGGCTGAAATTCTCGTCTCTGCATAAGGGTAATAGGAGCTAAGCTTGCCAAAAGCTGAGTATTTCAACACTGACAAAAGATGGTAAGGTGTTGAAGAGAGTACCACATTCCTTGAAATTTGCCATGGGAGAAGTTCCAACACCTGTCTGCTCTGGAAAAAAAATATTTTTCTAATTTATTTCTTCTTGGTAAAAATGCAAAGGGAGTGGTTTATAAGCTGGCAGTAAGTTAAAAATGACATATGCATGTAATTCATTGATAGTTCAGCAGCCTTGATGTATGATCTCAAAATGATTGATTTTAGATGACTCAGCCTATAACACAGAAAATCCATTTCTTTGGGAAAGCATTGTAGCTACCAGTGTCTGAGGCTTATGCACCCCGTCTGGTTCATTTTGAGGATGCAGGTATACAGCATTTCTACAAGGAAACAGCTTGTGTCATCATACCATAGCTTAGTAACCAATCCCTGTGTCCTAGATGCCTTAGGACCTACCCAAATTATTCTGACAGTTGAAGCTGCTTATGGCAGTTTTACCTTCTCCCACAC